TCCCTCCCCCTGAAAAGCCGGCTCCGGCAAAACCGGTACCGGCTGAACCGGCTCCGGCTAAGCCGGCGACGGGAAAGAGAGGCAAGACGAAGGCGGAAAAGGGCAAGGCGGCAGCACAGATGGTGGCTGCACCAGCCCCAGTGCCTGCGGCGAATGTGCCAGCGCCAGCGGCAAGCCAGCTGCCGCCGCCGTCACCGCCCCCCCAGATCCCTACACCTCCCGCGGCTGAAGCCGGTTGGCAGGTGGTCGGGGATAAAAAGAAGGGGGAAGAAGGCAGCCAAAAAGGCCAAAGAGCAGGAGCGGCAGCGCCAGTTCAGGGCGCGCAAGATCGCGGCTAGGCCTCCGCGCCCCGAAGACCGCAGCTGTAGTGATTACACTACAGCCGGACGCGGAAAAGAAGGGCGTTACCTACCGCGATCTGCTCGCGAAGGCGAAGGAGGCGGTGGACCTCGGGGAGCTGGGGATCACTGGGGGCCTCCGGCTCAAAGTCACCCAGACGGGGGCCCGTATGCTGGAGGTCCCCGGGGAATCCAGTGGCACGACCGCGGACGCTCTGGCTGCGAAGCTCAGAGCGTCTCTGGACGCGGACGAGGCCCGAGTGTCAAGGCCCGTCAGATGCGCAGACCTGCGCATCATGGGTCTGGACGACTCGGTATTGGAGGAAGAGTTGGTGGCCGCCGTCGCCAGGTCCGGGGGTGCACTACTGACCAGGTCAGGTCAGGCGCCATACGCCCGGACCAACAGGGTATGCATGCCGCTACGGTGCGCTGCCCTGTTACGGCGGCCAAAACCATAGTGGAGGGCCGAAGGCTTCTGGTGGGCTGGGTCTCAGCGCAGGTTAAGCTGCTGGAGCCCAGACCTCTGAGGTGCTATCGCTGTCTCGTGGGGCACCACGTATCAGTGAGATGCGCCTCGGAGGTTGACCGCAGTGGCCTTTGCTTCCGCTGCTGTCAGCCCGGACACATATCGGCGACCTGCTGCGCCACGCCGCACTGTGATGCATGTGCGGCGACCGGCAAGCCACCCTTGAGGCGGAGCTGTACCAGGGATACAGAGCGGCGAAGAACGCCCTCCGGGAGGCTGTCCTGCGGGCCCGGGATCGGGCCCGTGAGGAGATGCTGGAGACTCTCAACAGAGATCCGTGGGGGCGCCCTTACAAGATGGTGCGGGATAAACTCCGCACCTGGGCCCCCCCGCTGACGCAAAGTCTCCGGCCCCAGCTCGTGGAGGACGTGGTGAGCGCTCTGTTCCCTGCGCGACGGGAACATCCGCCCCCGCCTATGGCTCCGCCACCTGCGGTGCCGGACCCACCAGGACGACGACGACGACATCCCGGAAGGGACCGGGGTAGACCTGAGAGTGGCGGTACGTAGGCTCAAGGCCAGGAATACCGCCCCAGGACCCGATGGCTTGCCTGGCAAAGCCTGGGTCCTGGCCTCGGAGGCTCTCGGGCCCCGACTGGAGGGGCTCCTAAGCGCATGCTTGGAGAGAGGCCAATTCCCGCTTCGTTGGAAGACGGGGAAGCTGGTCCTCATTCGGAAGCCAGGGGCGCCCTGCGGACTCTCCGTCCGCATACCGGCCCGTGGTGCTGCTCGACGAGGTGGGCAAGCTCTTTGAAAGAGTCATTGCAAACCGCCTCGCCGAGCACCTTGCGGGGACGGGGCCGGATCTTGCGGAACACCAGTTTGGTTTCCGCAAGAGGCGCTCTACGGTGGACGCCATCATGCGCGTGAGAGCCCTCACGACGGGGGATGCAGTGGCCAGAGGGGGGTTGTCTTGGCGGTGTCTCTCGACATCGCCAACGCCTTCAACTCCATGCCCTGGAGCTGCATTAGGGAGGCACTCCGGTATCACCGGGTGCCGACCTATCTCCGTCGTATAGTCGGGGACTACCTGACGGACAGGGCCGTCATCTACCCCGGTCGCAACGGTGAGTGGAACCGGCGAGAGATGTCGTGCGGTGTCCCACAGGGTTCGGTTCTGGGGCCACCTCTGTGGAACATCGGTTACGACTGGGTGCTGCGCGCCGACCTCCCTACCGGCGTCAGCGTAGTTTGCTACGCTGACGACACGCTGGTACTGGCACAAGGGGGGTCGTACGAGGCGGCGGCGGAAAATATGACACGCGGGGTTGCGATAGTCGTTGAGAGGATTCGGCAACTGGGTCTCGAGGTGGCTCTGCACAAGTCCAAGGCCATGCACTTCCATGGTCCTCGGAACAGGCCACCACCGGGATCCTCAGTGATGGTAGGAGGGGTATCCATCGACGTCGAGTCGACGCTGAAGTACCTAGGACTCGTCCTCGACGGCCGATGGAACTTCGTTGAGCACTTCCGACGTTTGGCTCCCAAACTGGAACGGACCGGGGCTGCCTTCAGGCGGCTCCTGCCGAACCTGGGAGGGCCAAACGCCTCCTGCCGGAGGCTCTACGCGGGGATCGTGCGGTCCATGGCCCTTTACGGGGCCCCGGTGTGGGCGCGTGGTTTGGCGCGACTTGCCGTCCACCACCTGAACGCGCCCCAAAGGGTGATAGCCGTGAAAATGGTTCGCGGCTACCGCACGATCTCCCGCGAGGCGGCGAGCCTCCTTGCCGGATTGCCGCCATGGGATCTGGAGGCGATAGTCCTCGCGCGCCTGCACGAATGGCGTGCGGAGGCACTATGCCTTGGGGAAACCCCGCTGCCGCGGCAAGTTGTCGCGCAGCGGACAGACTTCCGGCACGATCTCATGGCGACATGGAGACAGCGACTGTCGCAACCCCGTGCTGGGCACGCCACTATAGCGGCGATAAGACCCCTCTTTGAGGAGTGGCTTGAGAGACGCCACGGCATCCTCACCTTCCGCCTGACGCAGGTCCTCACCGGACACGGTGTGTTTGGGAGGTTCCTGCACCGAATCGGGCGGGAGGAAACGCCCGGGTGCTCCCACTGCGAGGATGGACCGGAGGACACGGTGGAACACACCGTGGGGGTGTGCCCTGCTTGGGCGGAGCACCGCCGGGTCCTCGTAGCGGCGATAGGCGGCGGCGACCTCTCGCGTCCGGCCCTGGTCGAAGCCATGGTCCGGAGCGAACGGAATGGGATGCCGTCACCACCTTCTGCGAAGCAGTGATGCTAGCGAAGGAGGTGGCGGAGCGGGAGAAGGAGAGAGCAGCAGCTTTCCTCCCCGGCCGCCGCGGGAGACGCCCCGGGCGTCGGGGGCTACGTCGTGGCCCCCGGCCACCGTAGGCGCGGGCCTGTGGACGGCGAGCAATGGGTAGCTCGTCGTCCGTCCGTCTAATGACGACAGGCCGTGTCGACGGCGCGTTTTGTTCCACGCGCGCCTCAAAGAGCTGTCAGCAGCGTGAAGGGGCCCGCAAGGGCCGACGCCTGCCGGGGCTGCGGGCTGTTCGAAAGAGATACCGCGGCTCCGGAACGTAAGGGCACTGAAGGAACACGGATGGTTTTTAGTCAGTAAAAGTCTGACACTCCCTTACGGAGCGAAAGGCGTCATTAGATGATTTTCCATCCGCAAAAAAAAGGGTGCGTAAACTTACACTGCAGGATGCACGTATGTGACTAGAAAATATCATTGTGGGTGTTATATAACAAATTTCCACGTTCAAGGACTACGGTCTTGAGTTCTCCAACACACATTTGGGCAGCGCGGCAGACAATTCCTTCCCCTAAAAAGCTCTCAGAGATGATGTGCCCAGCGGTGGGACATTATAGGCTGTAACTTTACTATACGTCATCAAGATACTCGATTATCAAGCAAGAAAAGATGGCCACAATGATATTGTGGACAGATGAGATGTTTTGTCTTTACTATACCTCTGGTGCAAAAATATTTATCCACCCGAAAATAGTCCAATAATGTATAATGTACCTTTTCCATAATATAAAGCATGGGTGCAAAAGTACTAGTACCATGGAGTAATATTTTTAATTTTTAGTAGATACGATCGTAATCTTAATATATATAAATTACGTGTCACGTTGTTTGTCCGCGATGGACTCCCTAAACTGCTTAACCGATTTTAATCAAATTTGCATACCGTGTGCATTTTGGTCCAACTTGAGAGATAGGATAGTTTTTTTCCCATGAGTGACCCACAATTTTTTTGCAAATTAAAGGATTTTTAATAGGACATGACAAAAGGTCGTCGAAAAAGGCAGAACAAGGTCTGCCTGGCAAGCTAGTTAGTTATATATTACGTCGAATGAAATTAGTTTTTTGACGGATTTTTTAAGGTTTAATTAACATCTATTTTTATTTCCGATGTTTCAAGTATTTTGCAGCACCCATGGTCACGACGGAACTGAGGTGTTCGACGCCTCAATGCCATATTTAACGTCGGATACCTTCAGTTTAAAATTATTTATTTATGGTGTGGTGTTTAAAGAAATTATAGTATCTAATATATAATAAATATAATAAACAGATGTAGCATCCCCTATTCTCTATTGAAATTTGGACATTTTTTGGTATTTAATTGCTGTTCTGAAAAAAATCCTGCAGAATTTATAGTACTTATTCCCAGACTACCGACTTCCCGGAGTATTGTCTTCAAAAGATAAACTGAAATGGAATATTCCTTCTTGTATAATTGAATAGTAAGGACGTTGTTCACTCTAGTGGTATATTATGAAATTTTACAAAAATAAAAATTAACTGCTTGAAAGCATTTTTAAATGTTATCGTTTATTTTTCATTATTAAAAACACAGTCTTGAATATATATTATATTAACCCCATTCAACTATATCCACCTTAAATCTATCACTTAATTATATAAATAATATTATGATAATATATTTAGTCTTAAGTTTCGACCTTCACGCTGAACATGTATATTTGTATACATATTTACAAAACTCTACAGCTTTAACACAGCTAAATGTATATTTGGAATACACTCGCGGCACTGACGAATTACTTTGGTCCGGTCTTTGATCAATGAGATCATCTGCAGCCATTAGTTCTCGACGGGCACTGTTTCTTGGCGGACTTAGGCGTATGCTAGGTGGCGAGGGACACAAGTCTCCGTCGCCTGAGTTTCCGTCCGCATCGTTTCCAGAATGCTGTGAGGCAGTATATGAAGCCCGCGATGGCGAGGAGTGTGAGAGCCCGATTGGTAATACTGGGCGATTCGTAGTCTATCTCGATATGTGAACGAGACGCGGCTGCACCCGCTCCCCTCCAAGCTCGAGGGGCCGGTTCTGTGCCTTCCACTTCTGGAGCACCTGCAATTTAAATCTTTGTTAATTTATAATACAAAGAAAAAACACCACTTAAAAGAGATTGTCATTTTATAAGAACCTGTAATTGACAGCTTCACTTGTAATTGTTTATATTTATAAGTTATAAAAAACTGTCATAGGGCTGCACGTCAGAAGTGAAAACTTCTTAGCTTCACAAACGTATATATTATGCATACCGGCGTTCTTGAGGTAGACTGTGAGCTCGTTCGTTATGCCATAGTTTATAAAAAAATAAGGGGTGTGGCGGTGTCGTGGATACGACCGTATGTTTTACGTGAACACGTGTATGTAACGAGACGACTCAAAATGGCGGCACTCGCTTCTCTGCCACGCCCGTTGCTTTATTGTACTCACTAAACGTAACGAATTCTTTGATTCCTTTACTTAGGTGTAATTAAATTTTGGATGTAGATTATAGATATGTAGGTTCAATACCAAACTGTATCCCCCGATTTCATTTTCATCTGTATTCCGAATGAAGGCTAATAATCTTTCATTCACCAGATGTCGCTAGTTGCGATTGCAGTGGAGTTTTACGTTACGTCACCATTACATGTAATAACAAATGTTTTAAACGTGTAATAAAAATGTTTTAAAAATTTAATTGGTTTCCAAAATTACACAGGGTTATTTTTCAGAGTTCAAACCCTTATGAATGTGTGCGTGCGTAGTAAATTTTAGGCATTACGGCGTATCGACACGTTGGCCAACATAATGGCGAAAATTGTGACAATGATATTAGCCAAGAGTTTATGATGGCGTCCAAATGACATCCAACAAAAGAACAAACATTTGTTTACCATAGGTGTTACTGATAGCCCCCTGTGCAGGGCATGCATGGGAGAGGAAGAAACGGCGGCTCACGTGTTGCTGACATGTCCAAAAGTCGCCTCATACAGGGCTAACATCTCGGCATGCCGGAATCGTTCCCCAAAGTTGCTTGCAACATCAAAGGACTCTTGAACTTCTTCGGGGAAATATCATGGCTCGAATAACCACATTATTCCTGCCCACACGCAAAATACGCGCTTAGACGTGGAGTTGCGGAAAACAGCCCGTCGTAAACTAAACTAAACTAATGATGACGTCCACCCGTTGGAAAGTCGTTCAGTTTGCTTCGGTTCAGGCCAATGTGCGGACGAATTTATTAAAATGGATGTTGAGGCGCTAACAGCCGTTAACGACCGATGCGCTTTATTTATTCACAGCATACCGCTATTACGTGAATGTGTATCAGAAATTATTATTTTAATATATTTTTATAAGAATTTTTATTTTTGTAATTTTTACCTAGTGGTGATATTATAAAAGCAAAAAATAAGTGTGACTCCGGGTGTACCGTCACTATCTTAGCGAACAGACATAGAGAGCAGACAGATATAATGACACGCCTCACGGCGCCCCTCTTTATTCTCTACGTACAACACGTCCGAAACTTGAGACTCCGCTGGAATGCGACCCCCTTCCCGACTCCTCGCACCGCGTCCCGCGCTGGCCAGCTGGCCTGGCGCGCTCAGTACCGATAGCATTTTTGTTACGGATACGCGTCTCGGCTCTAGTTCGATATTTTTGATAATTGTTTGTTGTTTGGTTTGGACTTTTGTTTGTTTTTGTTATACTTGAACGTTATTTTATCTGTTTGTTGTTAATTGCGTTGTTTTATTGTTAAGTTTGGACATTGTGTTGTGACGCTTAGGAGTTACTCCGCCTTTTTTATTTAAAAAAAAAAGATGGGAGGAAAGACAATACATAGCCAAGCACGGACACTTGCTCTAAAAGTTTTAAAATTTTTCGAAGATGAAAAATCAAATAAAAAGTTTCTTATTCCTGTGGACCAAGCTTTAAAGAGAGCTTGTGCAGCAACAGGCATACCAAAGGCAACACTACTAAGAATGAAAAACGAGGCGAAAAAAGTTCAGTGTTATTGTGTACGAATCTGTAACACTTTTTATAGTGCAATAAAGTGTATAATAAATAAATTAATACTATTATAAATGAGAAAGTGTGTATGTTTATTTCTTTGTCCTTCCTTGACGCGTTAACTAAAAATAATATTATATATATTATAAAAATAAATATTTAAAATATATAAAAATGGCAACAGTATATCACTTATTACTTCACCCCTTGCCAGAACATTTTATTTTGTTTTTATTAATAATCTCATGCAAATCTCAAAAATTTCAAATAAAAAAATATTACGACGCATTATTTTGCACACCGTACATTGACAATTAAATCATCGGCCCAGGTCTCAAGTTAATTCGTACGAGTTATATATATACCTATGCTGCGCGGGTTGGTGTGTGGTTGTCGCGGGGCGAGCGTGCGGGCGGCGGGGGGTGCGACGACGGCGTGCGCGGGCAGCTGCGGCGGCGGCTGGCAGCGCGGCGCCGCGCGCGCGCCGCTGCCGTCCGCCGCGAGCACGCGCGAGTACACGTGCAGCCGCCCGCCCTCCGCGCGCTTCGGCAGCTCTGCGGACGTGGACACGCGTTACGATACTTGACGCTGCAGTGGCGCAGTGTAGTAGTAGTGTAGTGTGTCACAGGTACGAACCCCGCATCGATTAAATGTTTCCGATCCGGATTTTATTTAGAATAAGGGTGACAAACGAGCACATAATCCACCTGATGGTAAGTGGATGCTGTGGTCCATAGACATCTACATTTATCCTCGATTAAGAATCAAAACGCAGATGCCTTGTCAACCCTGAAGACTAAGATGGAATGCCTTGTTTCCAGTAAAAAAGTGTCTCCGGATCTTTACGTTCACCATACGAACCACAGCAGTATTAAGCTGCTATTTTACGCCGATATTTTGTGACAGGGTGATCTTTCCCCGGTGCAGCCGACCTATGCGTGCTACACCCATAATATAGCTGTACGCCGCATAAAATGGATGTTTGTCCTTGTAAATTTTAATGTATGTAAACTATCTTCATAACAAAGTACAAAATAAAATGAGAGGGAGGTTTTTAAGTGAAAAAAGTAGTAATCCAACCCTAACATGGACATCTGTGCTGCTGACAACAATTGAATATATACAAAGTAAAAGGCTACAGGTAGATTTGTGGCGCTACATATAACTTAAATGCTACACAGCTTGTAATTATACTGCATCATCATGCACTTCAAACCAGAACTCAACATTAGATGCTTTGCAACATAACCTGAGGGACATCTGGGTAAAACCAAGCCTAAGAAAAGATTTCATTAAATAATATTTACTATGCACTTGCATGCATACTAAGCGCCCCGCTAAATACATTCTCTGTTTTCACGAATCCTCCTGCGAGTATTATCTATAGTATGAACTATAATAATAATAATAATAATGTCCTCCAGACCGAATTCCGGCCACGGCGGCCTGCCTCAACGGAGGCTAACCATCGGCGCAGGACAGGATTATAGTGCCCAAGTGTATGCGCCAGCACAGGTGCACTCTCTACTCCCTCACTCTCGTAATCGAGATCAGGCGCAGGACCAACGGCTTTACGTGCTTTTCGAGGCACGGGGTGAGACACCGCCAACTTCCTGACTCCGGGCAACTACTGAGAATTTCTTGATAGAAAAACTCAATAATTGATTTTTTGGCCCGACCCGGGATTCGAACCCACTGACCTGATGACAACCATTAGACCAACGAGGCAGTCACTATGAACTATATTATGGTTGTACACGAATGGGTAAGTTCGACCAGAAAAACACTCTCACAAGATACCAACGTAAAATAATAGCTTAGTGCTGCTGTGTTTTGTACTGTGAGTGTAGAGACATTCTATTTTAATGTTCAAGAGTGACAATGCATCGTACTACATGTAGATGTGTATGGACCACATCGTGCATTAACCATTAGGAAGACTGTCTATTCGTTTGTCATTATCACTCTTATTTTATTTAAAAAAAATCGCAGTGGATTAAAAGGCTTAATCTGATAGAGGAAGAAGATCATTTTTCTTTAACGCTAATTTAACATCCAAAAATAATACATAAACTCGAACACAAAAAAAATTAAAAATAAAATTAAAAAAACATTTTTATAACAAAATTAAGATAACCTCTTGAGTTATTGTAGGAAAAAAAGTTTTTTTCTTTTTTTTTTTTGATGCATTACAATAGGTTATTTTGTTATCCTTTCTTCTTTTTTCAATAATAATGTGCGTTACTTTTTATTTTACTTTAACATGTTAAGTTAGCCTATAAGTATGATATGTACTAAACTTCAGATTAATCTATAAAATTTGTAAATATTTTTTCATTGGACAATGTCATGTTGGCTTCCTAATAAATAAATAAAAAAAAACACAACTGACGCCACCTCAATACACGTCGATTGATTTCATTAGTGTAATTAAAAAAAAATTGTAAAAAAACCAATTGCACATTTACATTATAACGTAGTAAAAGTAGTTTACAAAAAATTTACAAATTGTATGTAACAATTGATCGCGCTTGATTAATTTACGGCTGAGGTCTATGTTTAGCGAAGGACTTTTGATACAACTTTATGATAATAATGAATGACTGCGATCGATTTTTTAATCATGATGATTTTGGCACATTCTAAAGTATTTTTCAGTGTCTAAAGAGTCGAAATGGCGATAAGTTGTGCAACATTTTTTCTTTTTAAAGATCTTTATTCAAGTGTGTCAGAGTCAATAACATGTAATTGTCACCTACACAAGATGTTAGTCAAACAAATATAAATAATACTTTAAGTTATATTTAAAAATTGTGAAATGGCCTAAAATTTGTATATAAAATTGTACCTACACATTATATCGTCATTGACTACTATCTCTCATGAACTGTAATGTGATCCGTTAACAAATTATAAAGGACACTACATAATAAATGTTAAATCAAACGTCCGCAAAACTGACCTGAAGGTATAAGATGGACGTCCCGGTGAGGAGAGGCCGCATCTAGTAGCGCTGTAGGCAGGTGTCCCACTAAAGCGTATTGTAGTGCGGCGAGCAACAGCCAATGGCACGGCCGAGAAGCACCCCCCTCCAAACAGGAAGAGTCCCCGTAAACGACCAGTCGACCAGCCTTTTAACGAGAAAAAACTATAACTAGTCATAATTGTCATGAAGGTCCCTGCGATCACACGCGGCCTATAAATTTTTGTACGACCTCCAAGTCATCGAAAATAAATTCATTCGCATAGCCGCCAAGGCTCGGTAGTTCGTAGATCACTCAATAAGTTTTGAGATGCTAGAAATTTAAAAATGGAACACATCCGTGTGTTATGTTTCTAAAAAGCAAATTTATTTAAAAATAGAACTCCATAAGCTAATTGCTCAAAATTAAAAAAAATACGTGTGGCACTCGGTGACTGCCGCGGTAAAGCTATTGCATAGCATTTTTTATCAACTTATGCAATTATAATTATTTATTTATTTTATTTATGCAGTTAAGTCTTTGATATTAAATCAAGTTACACTTTTTGAGCGTGGTGACCGATAAGAAAACAATTTTTTTTTCTCTTATTGAATAAATGAGAAGTTAATATTGTTTAAAATATTTTTAATATCTTACAATACATGTAGGTTATTCAGGAATTTTTATCATTGATAAGCAGCTAGTGTACACGCATACGCCTAGTCACACGCACACAAACACCGTGCCGAAGTCTGCCGAGTGCCGAAGTCTGCCGAACTGAAACGACATTAGACGATGCACGGCTTTCAACGCCACACCTCCGTGCCCGTCGGAGTGGGGAGCGTGAGGTTTTTTTCGTTACGGAATTTCTAGATTCGGTCCCCGCGCTCAAGGCCCGCGATAGAAGCTATGCGATAGCTTAAAAAAAACAAAGTTCTGTTAATTTTCCTGCAACGCTTCCCGCGCTTTTCATTTAAAACGATGGATCTTAACGCTATGATCTATTATGATTTGAAATTTGGTTTAACCGAACAATTAAGTTTACAACGATTACAATCAGCATTAAGGGACTCAGATCCATCACGCGCAATAATTTTTAGGTGGTTTGCTTGATTCAAAAGGGGTAAAATTAACCTTAAAAATGACCAAAGAACCGGGGCCCCGCAAACAACAGTAACGGCAGAAAATGTACGGACGGATTACTGAAATGTTATTGCGAGAAAACCCACGAATCACGTATATGGACATCGAAATGATTGTAGGCATTAGTTCGGGAAGCATTCATACCATCCGACATCAACATCTTGAAGTGAGGAAGCTTTGTTGTCGATAAATCCCTCGTTTGGCTCTCCGAACGTGACAAACAGACTCATGTGGATTGGTGCCATGAAATGCGTCTACGTTTTGAAAACAGGGGCATCTAGGCGTGTTTCAGAAATCGTTACTGATGACGAAATATGGATCTATCAATATGATTCGGAAAATAAAAGGCAATCATCGGTATGGATCTACTCAGAAGGACAGTTACCGACAAAACTGCAAAGACCTCGCAACGTCTGCAAAAAATGTTGGCTAGTTTTTTTTCGCGGAGCGGACATTTGTCGACGTCAATGCTGGAAAACTGTAGGTCAGTCAACTCTGAATGGTATACTACAGTTGCGTTACCCAAAGTTTTTCAAGCTGTACCTGTACGGGAGAGGAGACCAAAGACCGGGCTTCGGGGTATCATGCTGCATCACGATAACGCCTCTTCACATACCTCCCTTAGAACAAAAGCATTTATTAAGGAATCTGGTGTTGAAACTCTAAGTCACCCACCCTACAGCCCTGACTTAGCTCCTTGTGATTTTTTTCAAGCGCCGAAGAAGCCGTGGCTGCCTGCGAAGAAGCGATTTCCGACTTGTCAGATCAAGACTGGCAAAAGTGTTTTCAGAGTTGGTTTAGGCTAATGGAACTTTGTATAGATGATGATGGAGAATATTTTAAAAAGACGTAAAATAAATATTAATAGTATCTAGAATACTTTCTGTATATATCTCAAAACTTATTGAGTGTCCTACGTACCAGAGAAACTCAGACTTGCACAGAGATTGTCAACTTCCGACGATTTCTGTATTTTTAAAGGAAATGTGTCGCTGAGACACATCCCAACCCGCTAGTGCAGCCACCTACGCTCCGACTACAAACGTTAAGCAGATCCGGAGGCTTCGTAACGTATTTAATTGAACCGCCAGTTTCGCTAGATTCCAACGACCCAAACGCAAGTAACGATGCGGAATGATTTAAATTCACCCTTTATACGAAACATTTAAAAAAAACATTAATCTTGAAATTTACAGATTTCTATACAATTTTCCTTAAAATGGGCAACCTTTTAAAGCCACAAAGGCAAGAATTATATGAATGATATAATTCATGCCAGACTAAAATATTTTTGAACCACAAAAATATACTACGGGGCAAGTCTGTTACGATCACCGCATGAGATCTAAGGCTGGTGTTTAGACACAATCTGGAGTTTAAACTAGAATACTATAATGTCAAAATTTAAGTCTAGACCCTACTATGTTACACAAATATTTACATTGCGGAGTTTGAGTTTAAAATAGAGAACATTTTTCAACTACCATTTTCTGTTTTTTATCTTTGTATTAATAAGAATTGCATATTATGAATCAAATAGCGATAGCTTATAGATAGAGCAGTGGTTTTTATACAAGCTGTAGGTAAAGTAAATAAATAAAGCTTTAATAATTAGGTCTAACCTTGGGCAGTTTATCAACAGTGTCATTGGTGTAGTCTCGCACCTCGCCATCGGTCTGAAGGAGGCCTAGTATAGGCACGTCGACGGTCTGACCGTCTCCCGCCGTCGCACCCCCTCCCCCAACTTTCTCCGACATTATCTGACAACGGCAATCAAATTATATCTGTAAGTGAGGTAGATAATGATGCTAAGGGAATTGCTTAATAACAAAGGATAGACGATTTTAATGACTAAAGATGGATACTAATAAAATAAAACAAAGATATAATTTTCAGAGATGAAAACTCTCCTCTCAGACAATACTTTCAAAATAACGATGTTTTTATTCTAGACAGGGGATTTAGAGATTCAATTAGTTTGTTAGAGGCTTGCAGCTACAGAACATATATGCCAGAATCCCTGCTTGAGGGTGAACATCAGCTCAACACTGAGCAAGCTAACAGGAGTCGTTGTGTGACCATATGCCGATGGGTGGTGGAAGTTGTTAACGGGTACTTTAGAGTTTAAAATATTTCGGCAAGATTTTTTTAATAAAACTGTTCCACATATGATGCATATGTTTTCTATAGCTGCAAGCATTTTAAATAAATTCGGTGATTAAAAAACAGGAATGATGCTGAGCAAATCATAAATGTGATTAGAGAACGATCTTCATTAAATAATAATTTATCTGATTTTATAAATAGTATGAATATGAATAGACGGACATCTGATTTTACTAATATTACAGCTCATTCCAATACTAATATTATATTCCCCCATCTAGAATATAGTGAAGTTATATTATTTGCCCTAGGAACATATCAAATTCAACAGGCAACGTCCTATTATAGTGAACATGTCAGGTTTCACGGAGGGTATCAAATTGAAATAAGCAGAGAAAACATTAATGCAACAGAGTATCGTTTGAGAGGAAGTGGAAATAATTCACTTATAAGAGGCAAAATAAAATCCAGACACATTTCGAGAAAAGTATATTATGTTTATATATTAATTGAAAATAATTTGTCTGGAAGGGAAGCTATAATAGAATATTGCTGCAATTGTTTAGTTGTTTTAAGAACAACTAAACAATTGCAATTGTTTTTTTGTTTTTTGTTTTTTTTAAGAACAGTTGGGTGCTGTGCACATGTTATGACGCTTGTGTGGTATCTTGGGTGGGCCAGGCATCAGCCGACAATACCAACACCTGCAGCATTCCTTGATGCTGTAGTTGTAAGAGAGGATGATTAATAAAAAGTAATTTACTCTTTTTTTTATAGAAATAAGATGACAAACGAGCACACAGTCCACCTGATTGTAAGTGGATGCTGTGGCCTATAGACATCTACATTTATCTTCAATTAAAAATCAAAATGCAGATGTGTTACCAGCCCTGAGGTCTGAGATAGAATGCCTTGTTTCCATTAAAAAGGGTCTCCGGTTCTCCATACTCACCATTCGAAACACAGCAGCATTAAGCTGCTATTTTAGTTTGGTTTCTATCATGGGCACAGCATCGAGATGAGGTTGATCCACCTGCATCTTTTTTATATGATATATTACTATCAAGTGATGATATTGAAAATACAGAATGATGATTATAACCATAATGCGTATTAATATTGTAATATTAATGATGATTTTTGTCACAGTTGCTACACTTGTGGCAACCAAAGTTTTTTGTGGTATTCTATAGGAAGATGCCGCTGCTCATCTCCTGATATTTTTATTATACTCTGTCGACTTTTACAACACCATATGGGACGGGGTGGCAATTCACGAAAGGCCTGTGTAATATTTTACATTATATATTTAGTTTAGGAGGCCTATATTGAGCAGTGGACTGTCGCAATGATGATGAATAATGATCAATTAATATTGTAATGTTTGTTGTTTATTTTATCTATTTCAATTTTACTGTGTGCTTTTATTTTCTGTTATATATTATGTTATATGTGTAATTTATAAATAAACGCCGAGCAAAGTTGAATTTAATGCTCTGGCACCCTTTTTATCTCTTTTAATTGACAATCTCCTTCTGATTTATAATAATATAAATGGGTAAGTATCTCTAGACATTATATTTTAATGTTTGGAATTTATACTTGCTAATAAATGAATACTTTAATAAACAAAGGGCCCTCACTGCACCTATCTGCTGTATTATTTTTAAGAAAGGACGACGATTTTTATAATAATAAATGCAGTGATATTATACATGACGTTTGGGATTTATAGGACAGATGTAGGGTGCGCTTTGAGAGATGCCCTATTATTGGGTGATAAATAGTTGTCGTATGGTTCCAGCACATATTTTTATTTAGCAAACACTGCAACGTGCTTTAAGTCGCGTGTATGAAGTTATACTATTTGCCCTAGGAAAATATGGATTCAACAAACAAGGTCATATTATAGTGAACATGTCAGGTTTCACAGAGGGTATCGAATCGAAGGACAGTTGGGTGATGTGCACATGTTATGAAGCTTGTGTGATACCTTGGGTGGGCCAGGCATCAGCCGACAATATCGCCAGTGCCAACATCACTCCTTGATGTTGTAGATATAAGAGAGGATGATGAATGAAAAGTAATTTTGTCTAGCCTACTTGTTTCATTAAAGTACTCCTAAATTCTACCATTACACTTCATTTATTCCCATAACCTACCATTACTCGATTTTTCAATACATATGCAACTTTAGTATTGAATACTGAAAGACAGTAGCTATCTAGCGACTAACTCTCTTCAGCTAGAATTAAAATGCTCAAACTACAAAAAAACCTTGAAATCTTTTAGGAAAGACTTCGTGTGATAATAATTACGCCATCCTTGTTTTTACACTACATACTGTGCAAGCTAGTGCAATACATGTAGGTGTAGTTTTTATTGAATTATAGGTCATAATTTGTTGTCGAAACGGTCAACTTCACGAGATGGTTTGACAGACGGCCCTTTTTGATTTGACATCGAACTCTAGGAGTATGGTGCACATACGTAGGGTGAGCTTTGAGAGATGTTCTATTATTGGGTAATATAATTATTTTAACTACACTACACTAGTACGTTAGGCTACGTCGCAGTCGGATAAAGCGTCCAAGCAAGGTTTTTCGTTAAAAATCAAAATGTACAATAAATTGCCAGAAATAACAAGACTTCGTTTCGACAAGTGACAAAAATATACTTTATGAATCACGCTTTCTACAATATAGAATAATATATGAAATGTTCATTTTCTGACTTGCTTGACATGTAAAAATAATGTAAATGTATTTTGATTTGTAATTTTAATAATCTAATGTAATCTTATATCATTTGTATTGATTGTAATTTTGACATACCAATGTTATATTTTAATAAAATGGCCAATAAAAAAGTAAAAGGTATTTGTTGATTCAGCCTTAAAAATATTGTTGAATGATTTAATAACCAGCTCGCTAAAATTAGACTTAACTCACCTGTTGCCCTTGATCTGTCAAGCGAGCAGTGATCAGAACCCCATGTTCAGGGAAACTGTGAATATGCGTGCCACTGGCGTAGTACATAGGATGACCGCCCAGTTTGAACGAGCCCTCGAAAACGCGGTCACCTAATGCTACCTGTGAAATATTGCTTCCCCTATATTATAAGCATTTTTATAGATAAACCAAAAAATTACATACACAATCAAAGTCAACACAGACCAATAGTTATTAAATACGCTTAGACTTAAGTTGTACCCGGATTCGGTTAACTGTTAGCATCAATTTATTGCGAAAAAATTAAAATCAAAAATAAAACATCAAAATGACTACAGAGATTGGGTGTCTAAATCCGGCTCAGAGGACCAACCACTAAACGTCTCTAAAGTCGTGGACGTATGTTGTGGAAGAAATCAAATAATTTGCAACCTTCCGCTAACTAGATACAATGATGTGTCTTACATGGATTAAAGTGAGGGAGGGCGGGAGGTGCTCTTCAATCCAGGTAAGACACATCATTGTATCCAGTTAGCGGAAGGTTGCAAATTAATTGATTTCTTTATTAGCATGTTGTGGACGTAGAAAGAATAACAAAGATGGTGATTATGTTACTAAAATTAACAGCACTGTCAATTTACCTGATACATGCTAAGAAGATCATTTAGTGCGGGTACGTTAGCTCCACCAGTTTCCGGTATCCACCTGCAATACACGTGTAAAATGTTAAAACAAATTTTACACGATTCACAACACCGATACTAAAGTTCATTTTTTATTTACCACTGTCTAGTGTTCTCGTCGTAGAATTTGACATGGCGCAGCAACGAGGCATTATACCAATCGGCAAAGACAAGCAGCGATAAGCCCGAATCGACTGCTTTTTTCAACGCGGCCATTTCCTCTGGAAAATACTCGTCCTCTGGATCAACCAGCAACAGCGCGCCATACAGTGACGTATTGATGCACGTGAGTGGAGTTCCTAACACAAACAAAATCTTATCGCATTAAGAGAGGATTTTTGAAATCATTATTTTTAGTTGTACCTTATTAATATAAAATCGGTAATTATTATGCAAACATTTATCAGGTATAATAAAGATAATTTAACTTGTTAAAATGCAAGAAGTCCATGTTCATCATCTACAAAATAAACCCCATTTTATTTTTGGACACAAATCGCAAATAGATTATATTTAAAATTGTATATCCAGTGATATTACTTATATTCTGGTTGAAGTATTAAAGTACGTTAAGTAATAATAGGTCAGTGAAAAAGTTTCTTCGTATTTTGTTTGTATAAAATTGAAGAAAAATCTCTATGGCTGTACTATTTTTGTCGTTTTAATATTGATACAATACACAAAAAAATTATTTTTTTTTCAATTGTTTTTCTGTACGCCAAAATGAGTGAATCTAATAAAGAAATTCGATACATCCTGAAGTATTACAAAAAAACCACCATAGTTTTTGACTTCGTATATTATATATATATATATATATATATATATATATATATATATATATATATATATATATATATATATATAATATAAAGAAGCAACTTTTTCTCAGATCTTATAATTCTCTTACAGAGACGTTCTGGATATGGGCTATAAATAGTGATGAGGCATACGATATGAAAAACTTACCCATAACTTCCAAATAGAAACCATGCTCTCGTAGTTTTCGGTACATATCACGGAAGTTAGTGTGCACGTGATCCGCATGCCAGTCGAGCGGGTCGTGTTTCGCACGCAGGTCGTCGCGAGGGAAATAACCGCCCGGATACCTAAGGCTATGGAACTGATCCCACAGGAGGCGTCGACTCCGAACCGGGACCGGAATTATGCGTGCTCTGCCATAAGCAAATTACAAAGCTTTAGTTGATACATTAAGGGTTACGCAAGTTTCGTAACACTTAAATATTGTTTCATCATTTATTATTTCATAATATTATATTAATATGGTATGTATAAAGTAATATTAAAATGTATGATCTTAGGCATGGAAAGATATAATATATCTTTGACATTCGAATCGATTATAATGTATTAATATACAAAACATATTTATAATAAAATGTGAATAACACTTTTAAAATCGAAGTGTAGCGTGGAACTATTTGTATTTATTATAACATGCGTTCCATGAACATTGAGAAAAAAAGAATTCAATTCAATTAATTTTTTCAAATTAATTGATTTAAATATATAAAGATTATCTGTGCCACAGGTTTAAACTTCGTTCATTTATTACATCCTGTAATTTTCTTTTGGAAAAAAGTGCCATCCGGTATTTGCCTTAATGCTGGGCACCAGGCATTCTCTCATTTATTAAGCAAGCAAAGTCTGCAGTGCTGCAAGTTGACTGACTTTAAATGTTTTGGATGTGTTTATTATAAATTTTTTAGACATGCTAGTTTTCTACAGCCGAGCACACAGTAAATTAGTACTTATAATTAAACTAATAATTGTATTGGTGCATGCTGGGATCGTACTTAAGATTCTCGCGTAATCCAAAATTATTCCCTGAACTAACATAACTCGATAATTGAAAATATACAATCTTACACAATAAAACTTACTAACCAAACCGCATCAACAATCTTTATCATAGGTCATTGAGGTATCACATGGCATATTAATTAATTAGCATGTAAATTTAAAAGTAAATATAATAATAAGTTCACCTTTGAACTATTTCTGTTTACTATCAGCCGGATAAATGCGAATGATAAAAGCATTTTTCATAGTTATTTTATTACTTCCCAAAACGGAGTGTCCATTCTTATGTAATAATTATATTTAAAACATTAGTGATACTCTTTTAAATAAAACCCGTTTTTACGGACTTTATCGCGTACATAAACTTATTTTATATTCCCGACGTTTCGAGCACTTTACAGCACCCATGGTCATGCGGGGGATTGATCATTCGACGTCCCAAGGTCATAGTTAACCACGGCTACCTTCAGATTAAAATTACTAATTTTTGTTCCGATCTACGCAGTATGAACTTATAGTATCTAGAAGTGTTGCAGTTGTATTCTTGGATGAAGATTTAATTTAACTATAAGATTTTAGGGCAAGTAAATGTACGCCGCCCCAAAACACTCTCAGAAATGACAGGCCTGTGACCAGCAATGGAACTTCAGAGATGGGAACAGTATATAGGCTGTAACTTTAACTTCAATTATAGGATTTCAAGCAGATGGTACCACTCAGCCGTCTTCTCCATTGAATTTTTTTTTTATTTCAATAACTTGACGAATCATCCTTGGAAGGAATCGGTGTTCTTTAACGAATATTTGTGGCATATGAAATCTGATGTAGTGACGTGGCGATCCTGCACGTGTTCACAAACTGCAGTATTCCAGGGACGTCGATTCTTTACATCAGCTATGTGTTCTTTTACGCGGGTTTTATTGGTCTTTTAATTTGTCTCATGTAAGAGAGATCACATTCACATTCATGCTTGTGCAGTCCTGCATCTTGCAGAAAGGATGATCTTGTAAAAACTGACTAATCTTCTTCGACACTTGTCAGTGATACCTCTGATATATGGCAGTACAGCAGGCATACGCAAAACTGCTCCACCACGTCCAATAGTGAGCCAAATCGATTCGCCAACTTATAGATTGGCTCAACACTTAGCGAAAATACTCTCAACAATAATACTTTCACCGCTCAAGAGAAACACAAGATTTTGTCAGCGAGACAGGACTAAATACCTACATCCGCCAGACAATGAAACTATGGTCAATTTTGATGTGCAGTCACTGTCACATGCTTACCTGTCGAAGACTGCATCTCAATTGTCACTAGAAGGCTGGGACAAAACAACATGCCCGTACAATGATTTCTTATATTTACGCGAACACTACACATTGAAATAATACTAGTTTTTACGGAATTTATCGCGTATATTTAACTTTTTAAATACCCGACATTTCGAACGCTTTACAGCACTCATGGTCACGGGCGGGACTGAGATGTTCAACGTCCATATGTCATAGTTAAACTATGACATATACATATATATGACATATGGACGTTGAAAATCTCAGTCCCACCCGTGACCATGAGTGCTGTAAAGCGTTCGAAACGTCGGGTATTTAAAAAGTTAAATATACGCGATAAATTCCGTTAAAACTAGTATTATTTCAATACCCGTACAATATGCAGTATTACTCAGACACTGCCTTACACCTCGCTACCTATTGTGGAAGGAAGAGTTCCACAAGCAAGAGATGGTGTGGCGATAGGTTTACTTCTTTCTCCCATTGTTGTCGATATATTCATGAAGGACTTTGAGAAGAAAGCCCTTCTTACTTCTGTAAATCCAAGATTCTACAAGCGGTACGTAGACTTTTTTTACAGGAGGGGGCAAACGATCGTGGGGCTCACGTGATGGTAAGTGACTACCGCCGCCCTTGAACAACCCCAACACCAGGGGTATTGCAGATGAGTTGCCAGACTTTTAAAAAGGAGTAGGTACTCTTTTCTTGAAGGTCCCTAAGTCGTAAAAATCTCTGGTGGTAGTCGTTGTGCGAGGAAGAAAACCGCTTTTAAATCGCACAGTGGAGCGCCAGTCATCCAAATGGTACGGATGGTATCGCGAGTTTTTGGGTTTGTCGCGATGTGCCATTGTGGTATTGTGCGACTGGAATTAGTCCGAACAATTCCTCAGAGCACTTCCCGTGGTAAATGCGATAAAATACGCAAAGTGATGCAACATCTCTTCGCAGTGCCCAAAGAGTTCTGTCGCCGAAGATTCGAACGCCTCTGTTTCGGATACGATTAAATGGAAGAAGCTGGCACTGGGGAGCTCCAATTCAGAGATGGGAACAGTATTCCATGTGAGCTCGAACCTGTGCCTTGTAAAGTTGCAGGCGGTGTGCCGGCATGAAGTACTGTCCCGCTCTGCTGAGCACGCCAAGCTTTACATCTGTAAAGCTTGGCGTGCTCTATTATACTAACTAACTTTATTATACTTTAATATTACTTCAATATATTCGTTCACGATTCTACCTTTTAAAGTAACTGCCTTTTTTGACTACTTTTAACTCAACGCAAATAATTCTTTAACTTTTCTAGATATATTAGTAATTAGAAGTCTTGTAACATACTGTGTATAGAAAAAAGACCCATACAGATAGATGTTTAAACGGTGAATCTCACCACGTTCGTTTATAGTTAGTTACCGTGGGAAAATATTTGTTTCAGAGAACACGAGGAATCATCAAGCAAGTTTTACACGACAACAAGCTTCGGGTTCCACGCTTGCGTCACAGTAAACGAGTGAAGCCGGCCACAGTCGAACGTGTGCCTGCTGTACTGCCATATGTCAGAGGCATCACTAACAGGTTGGTTAGACCTAAAAAGTGCTTCCGTTAAAACATACTTTAGGACAAACTAAAAGATCAATAAAACTTTTAAGCATTAAAGAACAGATAGATGATGTAAAGTATCGACGCTCCGGGTAGTCTGCAGTGTGCGAACACGTACAGGAACGCTCCTGTCACTACATTAGATTTCATAGACACCGATTCCTTCCAAGAATGATTCGCCAGGCTATTGAAATCAAAAAAACATCTTAATTTCAATAGAGAAGATGCTTGGGATCTTATAATTAGTAAAATTAAATCCTAACCCAAGCATACAACTATAAGACTTCAAGATACTATAATTTCATACAACGTAGATCTGACCAAAAATTAATGATTTTTAATCTGAAGGTAGCCCTGGTTAAGTATGACATTAGGACGTCGACCACCTTAGTCCTCCGCAAGGTTGTAAAGTATTCGAAAGGTCTTGTCGAACTAGTTCTTTTTTTATATTATAGGGGGCAAACGAGCATACGGCTCACCTGATGGTAATTACCGCCGCCCATGAAAGACTGCAACACCAGCCGGGCTAGCATGGGCAGGAGACAAAAAAATTATCCCCTGACAAGAGATAAAATTGTCTTATCTCTACGCCAGAGTTTTATCCACCCTGTGAGCATGGGCCGATGGTAGATATAATATCCACAGTAAATAAAATACGAGATAAACTTATCCCCGCGCGTACAACAAAGCAAAGCGGAAGGCCACGAAACTATGACGCTCACGCAGTAAAAAATTCGAAAAGTGGTAAAATGTTAACGGATTTCAGTGTTCTTAGTGTCAAAATTTAGCCGCAAAACAGTTTTTAGTGATTTTTCAAGCGAAAAACCGTTTTTTCTCATATTAGCAAAACAGTAAATCGCGTGCGGCCCTTACTGTAATTTTTTAGTGATTTGTGTGCGCCACCTGGGGACACATCATCCTCCAAAAAAATATGGAATTTTTGGATAAAAGACACCTGAGTTATTAGAGGAAAACCGAAAACCACGGGGTAGGTGATTTCGCGAACCAGGTGTCTGCGGTTGGAATTAAAGATGTCGCTCGCGGCGTCTCGGAAAGCTCTTTCCGAAAATATATGCATCAGCCGGAAGTGTATAAAAATAAAATTGTCGTTCACTTTAATAGTTAGGAACACATTGATTTATATCCATTTGACATTTTTTTCTTCTCTTAACTTTATTTCCTTCCCAACCTGTTGTATTCTATATTTGTTATAACATCTCTGCACGTTGTTAATTTTACATATTAGATTTATTATAGCTATAAGGTGCCCTTTTTTATTATCCTATTTTAATTTTGCATTTAATATTACTTCTTTGCATGTTACAAATTTTACTGGCGTAGAAATTCGTTGTCGGGGAATTCCAATAGATTAATTACTCTGATCACGTTTCGATCGCCGGTGTAATTTTCTTTCTTATTTTTCAATTTCTGATACGAAAATTTAGTTGCAGTAGGCTCGAGACATCTTTTTGTATTAAAATGGTTTGAAGATAAACTTAAACCCACGTCCATGAACGAGAATAAAATTGTCCCTTTCAAATGTTATAAAAGGATAATTTTTTCTCTTTCCTTTGGCCCCATGTTACAGAGGGGCGGATATATTAGACATATACTCGTTATATCAAACGGGGATATACTATAGGGATAAGATAATTTTATCTCTTTTGTCAGTGGATTTAATGGGGGATATAATTTTTGTCTTGCCCATGCTTGCAGGGTGTATAAAACTGAGCAAGGAATAAAAAATTTATCCTCTCCCGTGGATATATTGTCTCCTGCACATGCTAGCCCGGCATTGGAATTACAGATGCGTTGCCGGCCTTTTAAAAAGGAGTAGGCTCTTTTCTAGAATGTTGATTTAGACTATATTGTTGTCCTTCACTGCTGGCCGTATGAGGACACTCAAGGTCGCTCCGCGAGCTACGGAGAGGGCTATGCTCGGGGTTTCTCTGCGTGATAAACTCAGAAATGAGGATATCCGCAGTCGAACCAGAGTAACCGACATAGCCCAACGGATTAGTAAGCTGAAGGAGCAATGGTCCGGTCATATATATAGCTCTAAGAACCGATAACCGATGGGGAAAAAAGGTTCTCGAGTGGCAGCCTCCTACCGGTAGGCGTAGTGTAGGGCGACCCCCCACTAGATGGAGTGACGACCTGGTAAGGCATGCAGGAAGTCGATGGATGCAGGTGGCTCAGGACCGTGCTTTGTGGCATTGCTTTGGGGAGGCCTATGTTCAGCTATGGAACTGTGAAAGGCTATAATGATGATGATGATGATAGGCTATATTTCGTCTGAACATGCAGGATTCTTTTTGTGGAATGGAAAACTGATAAAATTGGTTTTTGATGATTATCCCTTAAAAAATATAAAATACTTTTTTGGTTTGCAATTTTACACGGAAAAGGTCTTTACACTTTACTTTCTATCCAATATAGTTTTCGTGCAAATCTTTTATTAACATATTTTTATTGATGTGTGACTTTCCTGTCGCTTTCCCGCAATTTGTCGGAGTGATTTCGTGAAAAGAGACGAAAGTGTGTTACAGGAAGCCAAAGAATCACGCGCTACTTTACTTGGTCAATGCACTCATTGATCGCGCGCTGGTAGTAAAAAGTGTTGTTACATAAACTATTGTACACGTGTAAACTATACTAATAAATGTATTTACTGTTAATAACAAGTGTCTGAAAAAAGTGCAGATCATTGATAAGAAATGCAAGTGAGTAATAATGATTTATTATTCGAATAACCGTTAAGTGTTTACCTTTTACAAATTTTGAGGTTAATTTATAGCGCTGCTCAATTTATATATTTAAATTTGATTGAAAAAATAAACAAATAGGATAGAATTTTTTCAGGATAATTTTAATGTTAATGTAGCTTTTTATCAAGGTGAGATGTCAGATGTTACACATTATATGCGACTATTGTAACGGTTGCTCGTTTTTTATCACCCTTTTACATCAATACTATTGTGTGCTACAGGAATTTATATGTGAAATTCATAGACTTTCAAAATGTTAATTTAAACATTTTCCCAAGCACATAGTTTGCGAGTTAATAGTAAAAAAATTGCGTTTAAAATGGTGTTCCCTTAATTGAACTAATTGCCAAAAATGCTATTTACACTATTATAATGATATCGTTTTGCGAACTCCACACGGACGAAGCTGCAGGCAAAAGCTATCAATTATTATAAATGATTTTACCTGATCGGCAGCATGAGTGTGGCATTTCGTACAAGGCTCTCGCCGGTTTCATCGTGGCTCTCTATTGTTACGTTGATATGACCCTGAAACGAATAAAATATTTCAACAAGCTGTAGTTCGTGAATAACGTGCATGTACTACTTACACAATGAAAAGTTGATCTTATAGCTCATAAACAGTAAATATTAATTGATTAAAACTACTTTTACGGATTTTATCGCGTTTAATTTTAATTACTTTTATTTTTAATTCTCGACGTTTAGGGTGCTTCCCAGCACCCATGGTCACGGGGAACTGAGGTGACTGACGTCCCGATGTCAGTGTAAAACCCGGAGTACCTTCAGCTTTTTTAATTAGGGTTTATGGCATAGATCGGACCATAAGCAATAATTAAAAAAGCTGAAGGTACTCCGGGTTTCACAACGACATCGGGACGTCAGCACAGATTAATAAATAGTTTACAGATACATCACTCCCATACAATAGCGGAAATACCTACGCTATAATAGCCTACAAAATCTTACTAATAATATCTGCTGCTCGTAGCGGGAAGAAAATGTACCATAAGTACGCGTACGAAGTGTCGAGATTGTGTTGCGCGCCGTGCGACTTACGTGCAAGCGCGTCATCGGCGAATGCGCTAGGGCTGTACCTATGGTGATTATTGTATTAAAACGAATGTTGCGAAATACATACATAATAACAATATATTTTTATTTGTCAAACAAATATGTTTGAGTTTTATAAAATAATTTATACATTTTTTTCCTTCTCTGAATTCCCGGTTATTAAATTTTATCGCTGAAGTTTCCTAAATCGCGTAAATAATTTTAATAAATAATTATGAGGAAAACAGGAGCAAATCAGAGGAAAATCAATGGTTTGTAAAATTTGCAACACGGTGCTGCCAGGCCGATTCATTATGACGTTAGCAAAATTATTTAAGAATGCTCTTTCTAATTCTTCAATATGATTATTAAACGGTTCTGGTGGGACTTTTAGCCTACCATAAAAAAAATTGAATGAAATTGAAATGAATCTTTATTTTAAACTTTAAAATTGGTATACAGTGTTGTTTCGTCAACATTAGGGTTTTCCTGTAACAAAGTATAGAAGTTATGTTTTTTTTTTTGCTACATTTATATAATAAATACTCTGATATATGAGTCAATACAGAAGAAGACAATTTTTCATTTGTTTTTTTGACTTTTGAATAACATACGGTTTTGGCATTTCGACAAGTAAGCTCGGGAAACGTGCGCGGCGCTTGCACCGTGCTCAGGCGGGCGTGCGGCGGCCCTATGTCGGTTGTATCGTGGACGATACACAGAGCGGTAGGCATATAACGCGTGGCCTAGAGCGAGTGACGGAGGCCTGACGTCAGTCACCTCAGTCCCACGTGACCATGGGAGCTGGAAAGCACCCGAAACGTCGGTAATTAAAAATAAAAGTAATTAAAATTAAACGCGATAAAATCCGTAAAAGTAGTTTCAATCAATGTGTAGTTTTCGCGTAAATATAAGAAATCATTAAGTAAATATTAATTTTATTAATCTATACATTTTTTAATACTTCTTTTTAACCCCCAACGAAAAAGAGGGGTGTTATCAGTTTGACCGCTACGTGTGTGTGTTTGTGGTACCGTCTCGTTAAGGGGTGAGCCGATTTGGGTGCGGTATTTTTTTAAATTTAAAAGCAGGTTTTCTAGCGCTGATTCAAAAATATCTTTTCTGTGTTCTATGTTCTACTTAATATATTTCATTCTCATATCTACTATACTTGATATGGTATGTATATAGCTATAATATGATACAATGTTTTTTATAAATATGTATATGTATAAATATGTATATATGTGTATTATTATGTATGTATATATATGTTATATGTTATGTATACTTTTTTATCTACTATTTATGCACACTTCTATATTTTTATATGTAAAAGATCTCCTTCATCAAGGTTTGCCCGGAAGAGATCGCTGTTTAGCGATAAGGCCACCTAATTGTACATGAATTTATCAATTTAAGTTTGTTGTTCTCTGTATTATTTTGTGTGCAATAAAGAGTATTGTATTGTATTGTATTGTATCTTTTATCAAAATCGGCTCAACCGTTTGAAGATCATCAGCTTTTTTTTGTTTCGGGGGTTTTTACGAACATTTCAACTTAAGTTATATCCTGTTAAGAACTATAAATCTATCTAAATCTCTGAAAACTAGATTGTACAACCAGTGTGTATTGCCTGTGATGACTTACGCATCAGAGACGAGGTCCTTCACTGCTGGCCATATGAGGACGCTCAAGGTCGCTCAGTGAGCTATGGAGAGGGCTATGCTTGGAGTTTCTCTGCCATAGACTTAGAAATGAGGATATCCGCAGTAAAACCAGAGTGACCGACATAGCCCAACGGATTAGTAAGCTGAAGTGGCAATGAGCCGGTTATATAGCGCGAAGAACCGATAACCGATGGGGAAGAAAGGTTCTCGAGTGGCAGCCTCGTAATGGTAGGCGTAGTGTAGGGCGACCCCTCACTAGATGGAGTGACGACCTGGTAAGATATGCAGGAAGTCGATGGATGCAGGTGGCTCATGACTGTGCTTTGTGGCATTACTTGGGGGAAGCCTATGTTCAGCAGTGCACTTGTGAAGGGCTGTAATGATGAAGAACTATAAAAAAAATATATAAAGGATAGTCAGTCCCGTTTATTTCGTATATGTACATAACATACCTCAACAACTCCATCAAAGTCAGCGCCTTCTTCTAGGACAGTGAAGCTTAAAGCCAGCCAGCCCGACCACGGCCAAAGGATCTGGCTGTAATCCGCTGACACACCGAGCAAGCCGCCATGAGGCAAGTGCGGATGCCAGGTTACCTCTTTCTGTAACACAAACAAAAATGGAACCTTTTTTATTCAATATAGAGATTTTAAATGAAAGTTATCGAAAGTTTTTTGCTATTTTTTTAATTTTTTTTAATATAGGGACTTAGGTTACTTTTAACATGTCAGTACCATTGCGCCTTATAATTAAATAACACACTACATTTTCTTAAATTATTATTTACACAAAATATTAACTAATTAAATACCATTTGAGCAGCATTAGACAATGGTTCAGACAGAATGCTTTGATATTCCCCTATGTTACATATTTTAATATCAGTTTTGGCAATTAATAGTTTCCTTTCATGTTGTTTTTTGGAACATTCCGCGAAAAAGTGTTGTACATCTTCTATTGTTTTGCATGTATCGCAATTTGGAGATTGTTTCTTTTTCATCATTAAAACAAACTTGTTACACGGAATGTGTCCGGAACGTTATTGAAAGTTCTTTTGTTTAATTTACCACTAGTTGGGGAAAAAAACCTCCGTCCTGGAAAGAACTAGCAAATAAAATAGCGGGACTTTTTTTGAAAAATGTAAAATAACAGCTTACAATCAACAACATAAATTAGAAATAGCTTGGTAGTGATCACTTTAAAACACATAAGTGACAACCTTTACGGTAATCCACATTAGGTTCTAATTCTATAAATGCTCGGTGTGTGTGTGTGTGTGTGTGTGTGTGTGTGCGTTTGTGTGTGTGTGCGTGCGTATGTGTGTGTGTGTGTGTGTGTGTGTGTGTGTGTGTGTGTGTGTGTGTGTGTGTGTGTGAGAGAGAGAGAGAGGGAGAGACTATAGTAAAAATGGCAAAAGAGTTGTGTTGGTCACTCACCACCTCACCGGAGACTCCCAAGCCGTTGACTACGGTGACGTTCGCGATAGTTGGCTGCGCACTGTAATACAGCGGCTGTGTGCAGTACGGCCACATGTACGTACATTCAGTCAGGTCCATGTACGGTGGACTGAGACTTGCTTGCGGCGTGTACTCGCGCAGGAACTGCCACGGACAAAAATAAATATTATTTTGCGGCCCTTTTAGATCCACTGCGTGATATAGGTTTGGTCAAAAATTGCACCATAAGACGAATTTCTTCAAAGATTTGTCCCATTATCATCACACTAGGTTGGTGAGAATAGCTCAGAGAGTATACATTCTCAATAGCAATATACTTTGTCCGCTTTTAGTTTTTCTATAGAATAGTTAAACAACTAGCAGATTGTACCATGTGCAAATGTGCATGTGGCCCTCTTCTCCACCTCATAAATAGTAATGTATAGTAAATGGACATTAATAAATTACTAATGAAAACATAACGCCTTGTAGTGGCGCAATTAAGGACTCTATCATTACAACTTGCCTTGGGGATTAACTTTCGTGTTCAACAATAGAGGGCGTGAAGAAACGTCTGGTATTATGACCTCAAATCAAGTACATGTAATTTACAAGTCATGTAATTTTATACACATTGATATTTAGTATGGAAGAGGCAGATAAATATTTCGAAGACATGTGAAGTTCGCCAACACGCATTAGGGCAGCCTGACGGACATTTCCTTGCCCTAAATCCCTCTCAAAAATGAGGGGAGGCCTGTGCCCAGCAGTGGGACGTATATAGGCTGTAACTTTTTCACTTTACTACTTAGGCAGATAAAAAGTTATATCTAGGATATCGTGTTCTTATGAGAAAAAAAACACTCAATAGATTCATCGTACTAAATACTGATTTTTGATTCTGTGAAAATAAAAGCGACGTGAACAAGGTTGTAAGGATTTTTAATGTGTTCAGTAACTCATGATTCTATTATTGAATAATTTCATTGAGGTACAAATGTGAAGTAAATTGAAATAAAAATTAGTCTTTTACGATGCAAAATTGCCACACACTTTACTGAAACATTTTAATCGGTACTAGATAATGCATGCCAATTTCATTAATTATCGAATAACTGTTTAAAATTTTATACGACCACTGTGAAAGTAAATTATGTAAACATATTATATACTTCTGTTACCTAAAATCTTTGGTCAATTGCTACCAATATCAATCTAGAAAAAAAATTGAAGAATAATAGAATGATGAGAGGTGACCTGGTAGGCGCTGATAAGGTCGAGTTTCCCGTGGCCCTGTTCGAACATGTTGGAGGCGGGCAGACGTGTTGCGGTGAGGCAAAGCGCCTGCTTGACGGCCGCGGGCGTCAGGTTTTGTCGCGGGACTCCGCTTGCCAGCAGCGCGATCGCACCAGCCACCACTGGAGACGCCACCGACGTTCCTGCCATATATTATACATTTTCTTATGAGACCAAAAAATATGACGTAGCTAGTTTTTTTTTTAATATAGAAGAGGGGCCAAACGAGCATGCGGCTCACCTGATGTTAAGTAACTACCGCTACCCATGATCAACCGCAACACCAGGGGGACTGCAGGTGCGTTGCCGGCCCTTTAGAAAGGAGTAAGCTCTTTTCTTGAAGGTCCCCAGGTCGTATCAGTCCGGAAAAATCACCGGTGGTAATCTATTCCACAGAGAGGTTGTACGCGGAAGAAAACTCCTTTTGAAACGTACAGTGATGGACCGCCAAGCATCCAGATGGTGTGGATGGTATCGGGACGTTTAATAGACAGCTTGCAACGTAGTAGAGCCACGCTACAGCTATATTGCGATTGTAGCACGAACTAGACCGGGGAAGTGGTCCTTCCACTCACAGTATACCAACATAAAATAACAGCTTCTTGCTGCTGTGTTTTATACGGTGAGTGTAGAGAATCGGATGCATTGTTTACTGAAGATGAGGCACTCTATCTTAGTCGTCCGCGGTGACAACACATCTGCATTTTAATTTTTAGCCGTGAATAGTTGAAGATGTATATGGGCCACAGTATCCAATTACCATCGTTGGAATGTGTGTTCGTTTGTCACCGTTTTTCTATAAAAAAAATCATATGGAAATGGTATCGATATCGTTACTTCGAGTTTCAACCACCCAACCAAAAATGCAGCCAAAGATATTTATAAAGCAATTCATTTGAAGTGTATATCCAGCAGATATATAATTATTTTATATTAATCAATATTCATATATATTTAATATATTTATATATTTTAATATTTATTTAATTTTATAATTTTTTATTCATTTATTTATTTAAGCAACCAAGGCTCATATTGTGTTAGTATTACTTATAACTAAACTTATAACTATGTTAGTAAGCATAGTATTATTATTATATATGTATGAAGTAAAAAAATACATTTACATTTATATGTGCCATTTCATCACCAATCCACCCGATATGGCACTACAATGGTATATGTATATGTAGTCCAGTCTGCTAGCAATCACTTTCAGGATACTATTGTTACTCCCCCGCACCCTGTGCACCAGAGACGCGCACCTCTTGCGCATAGTCGCGTAAAAGCAGTCCACTCGCGCTTCCGCGAACATCCCTGATGCACTACAGAAGCGAGGCAGTCCCAGCAGCACCCTAAATGCGTTGGTGTATTGTACTCGGAGGGCGTTGTAAGCCTTTTGATTATATCTAGCCCACAGGCTGCACGTGTAAAATGACGTGCAGTAAGCTCTAAATAGGGCTATTTTAACTTCCCTTGAACAGCGTGCAAATCTGCGAGCCATCATGTTCGCTCTTACTGACAACGCCCTCCGCTCCCTCTCAATGTCATCATCATCCCTGAGACGAGGAGTCAGAACATGGACAAGATATTTATACCTAAACGCTCTTTGTAAAATATTACCATTAATTGAAATAGATGGTACTATGTCATGGTCGCTTACTACCGGTCTCAAAGACCATGACATGACTCTTTTTTACATTATAAGTCAAACCATGTGTCTACTTCATCTCACAGTCTTCGTAAGCCGCATACAGATGCACTCAACAACACCATATCATCTGCGTAACTGATGTTGTTGACGCAGACATCGTCTATGTTACATCCGACTCTGATGCTGTTGAGTTTACCTATCAGCTCATTCGCATACAGGTTGATGAGCGTGGGCGAACTCAAACCCCCGTCTCACCCGCACTCCAAACTGTATGATCTAGATAAGGCGCCTTCACATCTCACATTATAGACCTGGTTCCCGTACCAATACTTGAAAATATTTATGAGTTCCAAAGGTAGTTGGATCTTCTCCAGTTTATCCCACAGTAAGTCGTAGGACACAAGGTCAAAAGCCTTTGAGAGGTCTAAGAAACAAGCGAAGACTGGCGTTTTGCGTGCCGTGTAGTAAGTGACAGTGTGCTTAAGACACAACGCCGCGCTTTCTGTAGACAATTTCGGTCTGAACTCAAATTGACTGTCGTATAGTTTTACGTATTTATTTAATTGCGAATTAAGCACACTATCAAATACAGGGTGGCGCAATAGAACGTGCATTTATTAAGTATAGGCTAAAAAAATAAATACAAAAGGTATAGTTGAAATAAAATATAGGATGATTAGGTAATTAAACGTAGTTTATTTTTTTAAAATAACATCATATAAATGACGGTCCTCTCGAAGACGGCACTCCTCTAAACGCGAACGCAGATTTGTAAAAACTCTTGTCAATAAATCTGGGGTGATAGCTGTCATTTCCCCACGGATATTTTCCTTTATCTGACTGATTTTCCTCGTATTGTTCACGTTGACTTTATGTTTGAGGTATCTCCACAAAAAAAAAGTCAGGAGGCGTCAAGTCAGGGCTACGTGGGGGCCAAGGGATATCACCTCTTTTGGAAATTAGTCTTGCAGGAAACATCTGTCTCACAACCGCCATAGAGTCATTTGATGTGTGACAATTTACAAAAAAACAAGAAAAGTGTTTAATTCCTGTGTTAACTGGAGCTTATAAGGATGCAGTTTAAGATCCAACTTCAAAATTCGCTGTAAACTTCGTCGCGACAAGTTTAAAGCCGCCGATCACTTCCGAGTAGACACTTGCGGATTTTTTCCTACTGACTCCTTCACCCTCTCAATATTGTCTGTGGTCCTAGACGTTCTTGGACGACCTTTTGCGGGTGGTTTAAACGTGGAACCGGTCTCTTCAAAACGCTTTATCCATATTTTAATTAAATTTGCACTTGGAGCTTCATTAATATGTGTTAATCCATATTCAGAACAATACATTCGCCTTGTAGAGATGTATGAACGACCGTTCTCGTAAAACGTGCGAACACAAAAAGCACGACGCTTCCCGTCGAAGTGACTCATGGTTACTAAAACTCCACGAGTGCCACAATCCAACTACGCTAGGCTCCCCTCGCCCGCGCACTGTTTACCCCGCGAAAAAAGATGACGCAATATGCACGTTCTATTGCGCCACCCTGTACTTTTGAAATGACAGTTGCTAACGATATAGGTCTATAGTTGTTTTTATCCGCGAGATCGCCTGTTTTATTCTTCACTACAGGCACTACAACCGTACGTATCATGTCAGGGGGTATGTATCCATGTCCTAGGCAGAGATTAAATAATAAATATAGTACCCTAGGTAGGTGCGGGCCAGAAAACTTGAGATGTTCGATACTGAGCCCATCATGGCCAGGGGATTTACCTCTAGACATAGATTTAACTACCTGATCTATTTCTTTAATTGTAAAAGTTATTTTCTTTTCTTTGTTATGCACCGTATTTAGCAACGAGCGTGAAGCCCCAAGAGGAGACTTAACTGCAAAATGATCTACGAATAAGTTGGCAATTTGCTCAGACTCACTTACACCACAAATGCTCACGGGCAGGCCCGGTTTACATTGTAACCTATTGGTATGTTTCCAAAAAGACCGAAAATAATTTTTCGAATGATGTGAAGCTAGAATATCCATCTTAACTTGATTTTCGTGATCTTGACACCACTTCAAGCGAAATTTAAATATTTTTCTAGCTTCACACATTTCCTCACATATGGTACCGGAAGTAGGTTTACCATGCCACTCCCACAGGTGGAACTTTAACCTGGCCCTTCGATGTGCTTCCGCAACATGCCTGTTCCATTCCCACAACTACCTTTTTTTTCGATTTTTTACAGTTACGTCCTACTACGGAGGACGCCTTTAGAGCCATTACAATATTTTTATACAAATTATCAATAACAATTCTATGACTAATATCAGAACACATGTTATCACTACATTTGTGCAACTCATTTGGGTAGTCAATGAGCCGTAACTTTTTATGACATTCACTCCGATACATGTTTATTTGTTCAGGCGTCCTCTCCCCCCAAAAGACTAGATTCTGACTAATACAGTTAGGTAATTTTACAGGCGAAACGATGTTTAAATTACATTCTATTACAAGTGGGTTATGGTCTGACCAAAACACATCATAAATAACATAAACATTTTGTATGGACTTTATCGCCGCTTTAGTCACCAGACAATGATCGAGCCACCTATTCGACCCATGGACATCACTAACAAATGTATACGTGTTAGATGATACACCTAACATATCAATATCAATGCAAGACCACTCTTGATCAATACAAAAGCTATAAAATTTCAAATCGAAAGTTATAAAATCGTTCATAGGGATGAGCATTAAAGTCCCCCAGTACATATACACAGTAAATGCTACAACTGTCTACAATAGCACTCACCGAACTAAGTAAATCCGTAAACTCCACTACGTTGGCTGCCTCGTCTGTTGGCATGTACACGCACATCAGTAAAAATGACCTTTCTTTTGAAATTATTTTAATAGCACATATACGCGGGTTATCACACTTAATAACGGTAACATCGTTAAAAACGCTACGCCTCCAAAGCAGAGCTACACCTCCGTACGGTCGTCCCCTTATCAGGCCCGCCTTTGTGTCCATCACCGACACCCCCGTATAGCTGAAATCCTTACTTATGGTGCTCAGAAAATCAATTTCCTCCGTGAATAACCATTTCTCTTGTAATGCTATAATGTCATAATTCTTACAAAGATCGCGTATGTTATCTATGGAGCGTTTCACGTTTTTACAATTATTAGTAACAAATCTGTATGTATTATTATCCATTATTTATTTATTTAAATTTGTGGCGCCGTCTTCTTTACCAGAAGTTTCAGTTTTACGCTTTAGTTTAAAATTAACAAAGCGACGGAAAATTATCCCCTGTGGCCATATTTTCTCATCCAAAAACAATGATAGTTTATTTTGTGCCACGAAGAATTTATATGCGTTGTAGTCACTTTGACGCCTGATGAATGTTTTCTAATTTGACTGTCTCTTGTGTCATTTTGTTGATATATCGAACAATGTCTGCTTCGGAAGTATTTTTATGCACATTGGTTATAAACAGAGGTGTTTTTCTTTCCGCTGCTCTAAACATCGCATCCGCTGGACCACAACTATCCCTGATTTTCCTTCAACGCGATTTTTGGATTTCTTTCCCTTCCTCTGAACAACTGTCCACTCATTATTAGACTTTAGTCACTTGCGCATACGACTCATTATCCGTCGTTCCAATGCCAGTTGACTGGTGGTTAGGCGACAGCCGATTACGGACACTTATGACAGGCTGTGACTCATCGCGGTTCGCGTTGTCCCTGCGACGACCCGTCACTGAGCCAGGCGTTTGTTGACATGTTGCATCAGATAATGTTTCACAACTGCCCTCAGACTGCTTTTCGTTAATTTTTATATTTCTAAACTATACTCCTTAGCTGTTGAAGGTTCAGAGCTAGGTTTGCCTTCACTACTATTAACAGTCGACTCGTCGAAAAGCGATAACCCTATAGGGCCGCTGTCACGATACGTGCCTCTCTTGATGTTGATCCTAGCCGCTGAGAAAGGTGGCGAGTTATTTTTAAAATTACATAGCTCTTTCTTTATATCCTCTAGCTGCTCAACCGTTACGTACGTCGATTTAATCTCCTTAACTTCAGACTGTATCCGTACAAGATCTTTTAAAAACTTGGAGACATCTAAGTGGTCGAAAGTTATAGGTGGTAGTTTCTCAAGGTCCCTAGCTACAAAAATAGGCAGCTTATCAGGATCCGTGAATTTAAAAAAGTTGATCAAAGTTGTTCCCTGATAAACGTGTGAGGAATAGTCGCTAAGCGAGCTATGAAGACGTATATGCCAATTGCTAAGCTTCTCGACGCTCGCGTTGTTTCAAATGTGGATATCCGCAGAAAGACCAGTGTTTGATACCAACACAGCGCAACGGATCGTAAACTGAAATGGCAATAGGCCACCTATACTCGATAGCTCAAAGAACCGACAACCGATGGGGAAGAAAGATTCTTGAATGGCGACCTCGTACCGATAAGGGGTGTAAAAGTACTAGATGATGTAATGGGAAGTGGAAGTGGCAGGTGGTTCAGGACCGTACTTTGTAGGATTTTTGAGGGAGGCCTGTCTTCAGCATACATACATACATAAACACTCACGCCTGTCACCCAGAGGGGTAGGCAGAGACTACAGACTTCCATTTTGCACGATGCTGACATACCTCTCTCGCCTCCTTCACGCATACGCATACATGCTCGTCGGTTAAGGGTACTCCTAATTTGGCCCGTTTTCACTAATCGCCAATTTGGTCGATAAATTTTCGCCTAGGACGTCCCTTTCCGACTCTGCCATTCGTTCTGGAACATAAATTTTCTTTGTCACTCTTTCCTCATTCATTCTTTCCACATGACCAAACCGCAGTCTCCTGTGACAAGATGAAGCTGTAAGAGTCGCATAGACTAACAGCATTAACATCAAGATAATAGAGAACCGCAGTCTTCAGCAGTGGACTTTTTTTAATCCTGATGGGCTGTAATCATAATGATGAATACCATAGAATACTATAATACACAATAGAATGGCTGTCAACCTTATTTTATACGACGATAGGCGTCGCCGGGAGCACACATTAAAACAATAACGTCGTATTATCACTACTACAAACCCGATTCGCTGTGTTGACAGACAGATTTTAATACATATTTATTTGTAAATAGCGTTCATTTTGGCATTTTCTAAATAATTTGCATGCGAAATTTGGAAACGATTGTAACGTCAAAACACATCTCGTGTTGATATTTATTATATGTGTGAATTGACATATTAGTGACATTTTAGTGGCTACATTCTATTATGTATGTATTATAGTATTGTTTGATGAATACATACTATGTATTATAGTATTCTATGATGAATACATACTATATATTTTAATTATCAACGTAAGCCTAAAAAAAATAACAAACCACTGAGGGATCTACAGCCTCCCGACACGCTCGAACCGCGGACACCGCTGCCGTAAGTCACGATGTCTGGCTTCATACGACCGTAGCCCTAAAATTAAATCAGAGATCAGGACCAAATAACATAAAATTATTAGGAAAACGTGTTTTTTAATTCCTTTTTATAATCTTACATTCTTGTTGATAACAGTGACTGTAATATAAGCTTGGGTACAATAAGTTGTTGGAGGAAGGTAATAAGAACTTTATAACAGCCAAGATACTAGACGTCGCCTATAAATGAAGAAAAGTTTGAAATAATAATAATAGAAATTAAGCTGCTACTTGACGCTGAACTAAGCTTCAAGTTTTTACTGAAATCAGCATATAATTGCAGCTCAATGCTGCTTGGTGCTTCGTTTGGCAAGTGTAAAGAACCGGGTCTTCCTTTGTACCACTATGCTTTAAATTTCGATGGGAAAATTTTCGAGATTATGTAGTCACTAGTCGTTGTTAGATTTTCAAATAGGTTGTTAGGCAACGCAAGTATAAACACAGTTTAGACAATTCAAATAAGGCATGACAAATGTGTAATTTATTTAAATTCGTGGGGGTAGGTCCCTCTTACCGCCACAAAAGTAAGGGTCTTGTATGCCCTTACAAGTGGAAATTGAACAAGGGTATTGCGTAAATTTATAACGTGATGCAATTGGATGTAATTATTCAGAACATACAAATTGTATTACGTTTATGCACGTACAGTCATCAAAAGAAGATAATTAATTACTGACGTGAATTCAGTAGAATTATAGCCTTGATTATTACATATACAATATGTAACGTAATTAACGCACACCCTCAGACACTTATATTTCATATATACACATATCGTTATAATCATAATACATACGCTGAATTTTTAGTTAAACATTTTTATGCAGTGGTTATTTATCAAATTAGTTATACTAATTCCGGAAGAATGTTGTGGTCACAGTACAAATCCATGAACGCAAAGACTTTAACGTGCTTGAAATAAAGTTCATTTTTCTTTATTTTTATTGAATGACAGAATTAGTAATAATACAAATAAAACTGCACTCTTAAAAGTCTTATTGCCTTAAGTTACGGTCCATTTCAGTTTGTTTTGACTGTACAGATTTAGTCTGACTGTAATTTACGTAGTTTTAATTATTTTTGGGATAAAAAATTACCTATATTAAAAATGATAGGAATAGATTCAGTAAACGATTCTAAACAAACTACTTTCTCAAAGTGCGTTAATTATGTTACATGTTGTATATATGTGTATATATATGAAATATAAGGAAATAAGGCATTGCATCTTAAACATCGAGGGTAGACGAAGCTGTCTTATGGGCCACAACATCCACTTAGCATCATATAGACTGTGTGCTCGTTTGTTACCATACTAAAATTATAAAAACATATTTTTTATAATTTTCGTATGATAAATGAGGGCAAGCGGAGACCTTTCTAGAACGGTGCTATTCTATTGTCATTTGCCCCCTTCTATCTGGAATATCATCCATCCATGTCATCTCTTGGGAGTCGCAAGAAGCGGCAGAGGGGAAACTGAAACAGGACACGGAAAGAAACAACTTCCTGATAACGAATGAAAATAATAAAATACTACAGTTCCAACCCGCTTTTTATATGATAAGGTGACAAACGGGCACACCGTCCACCTGATGGTAAGTGTGGCCCATAAACATCGATGGCGATTTTTCCGGACCGATACGACCTGGTGACCTTCAAGAAAAGATCTTACTCCTTTCTAAAGCGCCGGCAACGCACCTGCAATTCCCCTGGTGTGGCGGTTGATCATGGGCGGCGGTAATCACTTAACATCAGGTGAGCCGCATGCTCGTTTGCCCCCTCTTCTATAAAAAACCTATCTAACTTCAATTACGAATCAAAATGCAGATGCGTTGTCACCCGTGAGGTCTAACACGGAATGGCTTGTTTCCAGTAAAATGGGTATCCGGTTCTGTACACTCACCATACTAAACAAAGCAGCGTTGAGCTCCTATTTTACGCTGGTATTCTGGTTTTCCTGCAGTTATATTAGTAGTATAGTTGTAGCACGAACGGCAGCCGACGACCAAGCTCTCACAGAATACCAGCGTCAAATAGTAGATTAATGCTGCTGTGTTTCGTATGGTGAGTGTAGAGAACCGGAGACCCTTTTTACTGGAAACGAGGCATTCCATCTTAGTCCTCACGGGTAACAACGCATCTGCATTTTGATTCGTAATTTAGGAAAGATGTAGACGTCTATGGGCCACAGCAACCACTTACCATCAGGCGGACTGTGTGCTCGTATGTCACCCTATCCTATAAAAAAAAAACACGAAAAAAAACTGTACTACTGACATAGCTGCAGCATGGCTCTGCCTCGTAAAAAAAAACATATATGTAATGCCATAGATGTAGAGAAGGCCTATGTTAACAGTGGCCTTTCTATAAGCTTTAATTAATAAATTGTATGATAATGACCTACAAAGTGACGACTCCATTGTCCTTGTGCAATTAATGTTTGTTAACTGCCTCCACGATACAGGAGAAAATTCTAGTGAGGGGGTAACGATTAACAAAACTTTTGAAAATTAGGTATTTGAAGAAACTATCACTATACTGCACTGCGAGCGCGAGTGCGACTACTGCAGAGGCATAATTCGAGGTTTGGCTTATCCAATATTGGGCCAATTTAAAAGGTATTTCATAAACTGAATAAGCAGGATATACAATGAGAGGAGAAGGGAATTCTATTTAAATTTGTTTGTAAAGTATTCTATTAAATCATGAATTTTTATAATTTCATTATATTACTTAAACTAATATTGCACAAAACAACTTTATTTTTTTTTGTCCTTCGAAAACTTTTTTTTTTTTTTTATTTTTCTTTTTTTAGTATTAGTTATCAAATTTGAACACTAGACCTCCGTTGACAGCGGTCTAAATGGCAATTTTGAGCAGTCTGTAAGGGTTCTAGCGCTTATAAAGATAATTTATCATCAAAAAGGAAAACATAGGGACATAAAAGTGGTTGATATTTATTTTACCGAATGAAAACAGGCGAGAGTGATTGTATATAGAAAAGACCATTTCCTTTTAACACATTTGTGTGAAAAATAAATACCTACATGTGGCAGTTCCCATGTCGTCATTCCCCTTGAAGAGAACTTTGCAATTCGATCATCGAATCCAATACCGCCTACGCCAATGACGTCCATCTGATCGGCAGGATTGTTGAGAGTACCGTACAGAGGTCCGTCGTTGCCGATCGCCGATACCATTATTACCTGTTTAGAAAACTTTGTTAGCAAACAAATTACCTATCATGGCTTTTTCACATGCATATGTTTAATAAAATAATTTAAAAAAATATTAAGTTAATATTAGTTAAATTCAACATGATAAAATAATTAATGAATGTAGCTAAATCTATCTACATCAAGATTAAGGTACTGATGTGAAGAAACATGTCTTGTTGAAGATTTGGGTCAATAGCTTACATTTTTATCGAAATCATTAAGTAAATTTTTACAGTTACAGGAATGGTATGGCACCTTGTTCGCACTGAGTTCCCATACTTTGTCGACAAAGGGATGATCCATAAAATCCGGGCCTCCGATGCTCAGGTTCAATACATTAATTTTGCGCATGATGGCATAGTTGAAAGCGTCCAGGAACCATGACGTGTACGATACCTATAGCAGAACAAGTTTAATAGATACATACTTAAATATGCTAGATTGAGATAATGTAGAGAGATAAGATAAAGAAATTTTCGAAGTTGTTAACGTAACGGGAATATAATAGTATTTATTACTGCTTCATAAAACCTAAATAAAACAACATTACGATATGAAAAATGTTATTATATAACTTTTTCAGAAATTATATCCCTAAAATATATGATCGTATGTCGGAAAGTGATATTCGAATATATTATTATATAATAATAATTATAATAAAAGCACAAAACCACAGAAAATTAACAGAAAGAGATCATGGCGATAATCACGACTAATTTTCTATTAGTAAATAGGTAAAAATAACTACGACATCAAGTAAATTATTGTTAACCATTTAATGTTTTATTTAGCTGTAATGAAATATCGAACTTGCGTTATAGAATACATTAAGGAAATTACCTGGTTGTCAGTGAAAACTCGGAATATATGCAGATCAGCGTCGGGAGCGAAACCGAGGCAGTCTGCCCTGGAGGCGATTACACCAGCCACGAAGGTGCCGTGGCCTAACGCATCATCTAAAGTATTTTCTCCCGTCCAATCCGTACGTTCGCGGACACGTCCGAAATGTGGGTGATAGCGGGCTAATCCTGTATCAAATACCGCTACCCTGATGCCCTCGCCTGAGAAAAACAACAGTAGAATTCTTTCTATATACTTTAAAAATGACTGGCAGAATGCACACATCATGTCCACCTGTTCTAAAGATAAAACAATAATACAAAGTAATGAATTTGCATACGTGGTAGAGCCATGCTACAGCTATATTATGGTTGTAGCACGAATGAGACGCCTCGACCGGGGTAGCTCCAAGCTCTCACAGAATACCAGCGTAAAATAGCAGCTAAATACTGTTGTGTTTCGTATGGTGAGTGTAGAGATTCGGAGACTCTTTTTTACTGGAAACCAGGCATTCCATCTTAGTCTTCAGAGGTAACAACGCACTGCGTTTTGATTCTTGATCGAGGATAAATGTAGATGTCTATGGGCACCATCCGCTCACCATCAGGTGGACCGTGTGCTCGTTTTCACCCTTATTCTAATTCTATAAAAAATAGTTCTTATTTGTATCAAATTTTGCCAATTAAAAAAAGCCATTGTATTAAAATAGGTTTCATGTAAAATTAAGTTTTTAACCTTAGTGTGAAATGCATTTTTCACATATTTATAAACGTAAAATGTCTGTCTTGCACAGCATCGTGCACGTAGATCGTGCGCTTGTTGTAACATTGTCGACCATTGAATGAAAACGAAGGCAATTGGTTTGCAATACTGTATCTATTACCATCATCATCATCTTTACAGCCCTTCACAAGCCCGCTGCTGAACATAGGCTTTCCCTGAGCGATGCCACAAAGCACGAGGTTGCCACTCGAGAACCTTTTTTCCCCATCGGTTGTCGGTTCTTCAAACTATATGGTCGACGGCCCTTTGCCACTTTGCCACTGCCACTATGTCGGTCAACTAAATTGTGCAGAAATAATCAAGAAACTGTATCTATACCACAGAAACCTAAATATAAATAGAAGTCGTAAAAGCGCGTGACTGTCGCCGCACATGTGACTCGTAGGCCACAAGCGCGCGAGGAGCATTTGTTTCGGTCACCAGTCCTGTTTCGGACGCAGACACGTAAAAATGGTATTTTGAAGCATATCCAACTGCGAAAATTCCTCCACAACTTGCAAATTTTCAAATAAAGGGATAAAATTTCATAGATAACTACTTAGTGTTTTAAATAATGTTGTGTTCAATGAAATACACTTAAGTAAAATTATTCACCTCCAGTACTACGATTGTCTCCGAAATTGTAACTGCTTTCACATTTCAATATCCATCGATTGTTAAGCTAGTTCATGTCTACGAGTACGACAGCTAAAATCAGCGATGGATTTATAGTATGGGCAATAAACAAAATTTCCTAGAACACGGCCACAGGAGTCGAATGCAAGTCAGTTACGTGACACAACTATTTTGTAGCGATAATTTATTATGTTTGGCTTACCTAGTTTTAGGGAAACGAGAACTAAATGTGATTTTTCGTTAAATATTTAAACCTTTTTCTACTTTTTTTTCTAAATATTTTACCTTTAACCGTTTATCGGCGATTGTCTGTTTGTTTGTACTTTTAAATTACTTAATAAATGTTTAGTCAGTTATATCGTAAGGATAAGTAATTATATTGTAATTGATCTGCAAGAAGCCGGGAAACTGAAAAGTAGTCAACAGAAAGTCAGTTACAGATCTTTAAAACTAATAAAAATCATAAATATGTCAATCCATACATATATTTATTCGTTTGCTGTTTGTATAATGTTGTATTCATTTTATTTATAAATCTGTTTATTTAATACAATACTTTTATTACAAGTTTCCCGAAAAGATCCGGTTATTAAAGATAAATGAATATATTTATTCTTAACGTATTATTATATCCCCTTTTTTTCTAATTATAAAACGTCTAAAAGCTGGAGGCGTAGCCACTCGGTCCAATAAGGCATAGTGCAGACAACGCACGTTTCGATAACTTTCCAGGAGTCTCACACCAAGATATAACTATTTAACTGAAATTGTCTCAGTAATAGACGCTTTTAGTCTTAGCTTCAGTTTTTGACGTTTTATAATTAGAAAAAAGGGGATATAACAATACGTTAAGATTAAATATATTCATTTATCTTTAATAACCGGATCTTTTGGGTAATATTGTTAGTCAAGGTATCAAAACTTGTATATAAAAGTATTTACTTGGCTTGCGCTGCGAAATCTATTGGTGGTTGAATAAATAATATACTAGATGCTTATAGTACTTATCTATGTCATTAAAAAAATCTGAGACGATATTTCCACCTGTTACAGGTAAGTGAAAATAACGGCTTTTGTGTTCTAATATTAATTAATACACAGGTAGAAGCGAAGGATGATAACATTAGCGTCATGGTATTAACCCTTATCCTAATAAATAATTTCATACTCCAGGTCGTTAATGTAGATGTAAATTCCGCTTTAAATTATTCAAATCAGACCATAGAGCAACACGGGCTACAGGCGCACATGACGGTAGTAGCCAAACGCAAGTGTTCCCTCTGTCTATGTATAATTCCATGCGGTCCTATGCGTTTAATAAAAACAGTAGCAGCCGCATTGCTCGCTAAACTAAATCTACTTGCGCGGCAGAATCGATGTCCTGAAAGAGATCTGTCACGTCAAATTACCAAAAAAGATGGTGTTATCTTTCATATAAGTAATTTTTAATCAAATTATTTATTTCTTTTGTAACTTAACAATTAGAATAATAAGGGTCGTATTGTTTCATACAATATGCAGATCGATCGAGCGACTGATTCGAGTCGGTATCCGAGTTGTCGCTGTCAGCGAGCGATACTGTTTAACCAGTGCCGGATTAACCACGTAGCAAGAGTAGCAATTACTACGAACAAAGGGGGGCCCGCGTATCCAAGCATCCCATCATCCCCTTCAGCATACTTTTTTAAGTAAAACTTATTAAGACGGTATATTCAATTTACTTGATTTATTTATTTGCTTTTTAAGGGAAACATACAGTACAATAAAAAATACATTATAAAACATATAAAAGTAATCCTAAAACCAATGAAGTTTCCACAGATATCTAAAACATATTAAAAGCTTGCAACCACAATATGTTTAAAGATTTAAAAAAAATAACTAAATGGTATTTATAATTAAACATTAAGTACTAAGCATAAAATAAAAGTAATATAACACACACAACCTATAGTGAAGCTACCAATTATAAATTAAGTTTTACAATATTTTTTATAACTATTATATTTAAGGTGAAAAATATCTAGTTCACAATATTTTAAGTTAAAATTTTTACATGTACGAGATACAAAATTATTTAAGAAGCATACAAAATAATTCGTTTGTATTACTTTAAATAGAGATAAATACCGTAATGCAAAAAGAGGCTTTTTTCGTGCACCTAACCGGTGACACGCAAGATTCACTTTACTTAAAAGTAGGGGAGAGTCGATGATATTATGTAGAAATTTGTATAACAACATTTGATCTCTTATATCACGGCGTTTTTCGAGTGTATAACTGTGTAAGCTATCAATAATGGAGTCTACAGAAGAATCATATCGCTTTAAGTGACGCAGAAACTTATTATTGATTGTTTCAATCATTTTAACATAAACTTTGTTTTGAGGATTCCAACATGAAGAGCAATATTCAAGAATAGATCTCACCAGAGTATTAAATAGTATAATTAATGTTAATTACACACATAACACATAAACACTCACGCCTGTCACCCCGAGGGGTAGGCAGAGACTACGGACTTCCATTTGGCACGATCCTGACATACCTCTTTCGCCTCCTTTACATCCATATATCTACGCATACATGCTCGTCGGTTAAGGGTACTTCTAACGTGGCCCCTTTTCAAAATATCGCCAATTTGGTCGATAAACTTTTTTCTAGGGCGTCCCTTCCCGACTCGGCCGTTCACATCTGCCATATAAATTTGCTTTGTCACTCTTTCCTCATTCATTCTTTCTACATGACCAAACCACCGAAGCATTCCTTTCTTAATCCTGGTCACAACATCATCTTGCATACCACATTTATCTCTTATCCCGCAATTTCTTCACCCTGTCATTCAGATTCAACCCTAGCATACTCCTTAAAGACCGCATTTCTACAGCATTTATTCTACTTTCGTGCTTCTTCTGCCACACCCAGCTTTCACTACCATACATTAAAGTAGGGACTAACACAGCATTATGAATTACCATACGTGCCTTTTTTGACACATTCTGGTTCTTCACAATAGAGTGTAGTGCCCCATTCACTCTATTCCCTGCATTTACTCGTCGTTCTATATCCCTATCATATCTACCATCCCTGCTAAATACACATCCCAAATACACAAACTCATCCACTTGCTCAATTAACTCTCCTTCTATTCTTATTTAACATACCGTTTTGCTTTCTTCTCTTTCAAAAACCATCACTTTCGTCTTACTTGCGTTCACTTTCATTCCCCTTTCTTTTAATTCCCAGTTCATTAATGTAACCATCATTTGCAACTCAGCCGCCGATGACGCAAATATGACTTGATCATCGGCATACAAAAGGCATCTGACGTTTAACTCGCCCATTCTTAACACACATTCTTCATCTTTCAAAGTTTGCAAACACCTGTCCATAAATAGGTTGAACAGCCAAGGGGAAGCTACACAGCCCTGTCTGACACCTTTTTGGATGCCAAACGAGTCCGAGTAGACCCCATTGATCCTGACACAAGCACTAGAGTCCCTATAAAGAGACCTTAATGCCTGTATCAAACCAGCGCTCAACCCATATGAGTTCCGTGTTTGCCATTACACATTCCTGTCCACTCTGTCATAAGCCTTTTCCAAGTCCATGAACGCACAAAAAACTTTCTGGTTTTTTGGCCAAAAACTTCTCCGCAATCATGCGCATGGAAAAGACTTGATCTGTACACCCCATTCCCTTTCTAAAACCCGCTTGCACATCCCAAATTTTTCCATCAGTTTCTTTCATAACTCTTTCAATTAACACCTTAGCATACAGTTTACCCACAATACTAAGCAAGCTGATTCCGCGGTAGTTTTTGCAGTCCTGCTGTGACCCTTTTCCTTTATATATTGGTACTATAACTGCTTTACACCAGTCATCCGGTACCCGTTTTAATTCCCAACATAAATTAAACAAGGTGTACAGCAGGCCTGCCACCACTCCCTCTCCAGCCCTTAGCATCTCGAGTGATACTCTATCATATCCAGCTGCCTTACCTGCTTTCATGCTTTTCATTGCTTTCATTATTTCATCTACACTTATCTCCATACCCCTTTCCACTTCTTTTGTGGAATTTCTAGTTCATTTAATTCAGACGACTCTTCACTCATAAACACGCTTTCAAAGTATTCCTTCCATCTGTTTAAATTCGAAGCTTCATCATTCAGAATACATCCATTCTCGTCTCTTATAGCATTCATTAGAGGCTGTTTTGTATTTCCCCTGGCAGTTCCTACGAGTTTCCAGAACATTTTTATGTTAGCCTGGAAATTATCAGATATCCTTCTATCATTCTTATCCGTTCTTTCTTTCTTTTTCCTTTCAACAACTTCTTTTACTCTCTTATTTAGACGTCTAAATTCTGCCTTTTTTCTTTCAATCTCATCATTCATACCAGAAGAATTACCAGCTTTGGTTGCTAGTAAATCTAACCATGCTTTCTTCTTTGATTCAACTTCCACCCGTACCTCATCATCCCACCACAACGTATTACTTTTCCTTTCATTTGTTCTCTTACTTACACCACATATTTCGGTGGCGGCATCCAACTTGTGAGACTCATACCTTAATTAATGTTGTAGAGTTTTTAAACCCCATAATTAATGTTGTAGAGTTTTTAAAATCTTTTGAGATACGCATCACAAAACCTAGCATTTTATAAGCTCTTTGAGTTATTATATTAATATGTGATCTCAGTAACAACTTACTATCCAACTGAACACCAAGATCACGCAGTTCATTTACTCTCTTTAGTAAATTATCGTCGAGCTTATAGTTAAAGAGGATTGGATTCTTTTTCCTAGTAAATGAGATAATATTACATTTCTTGATGTTCAAATTCACTTTGATATGAACACATTGATATGTTCAAATTGACATTCATATGAATTGATGTCACATAAACGTGAAACGTTACAAATGACTATCGGTAACCGATTATTTCGTTGACGAAAATTCAACACAAAATTTCATACAGTAAACGAATAAGCTTCAACGCCCAACACGCCGATAGGCTCGATTCTGATACTACTGATCATGCGGGAACATCTTTTTACGATTAACCTTGGCATATAGTATGACACAACTAGTCATTTTGCCCACGTAGATTCCAGATGTGGAGGATCATAAACTTTCCCTGTTGGATCTTCCGCTAACTCTCATCCGGACGGCTATCAGGTCTCCATCGATGCCCCTCTTGACTCTTCGGATCATTTACTGATCCGGAGGACAGTGTCCATCACATGCGCATTGCAGGCACGATCTGTTGGCTACCACCACGTGTGGCACTATAGGTCGGCGGATTGGGATGGTATGTGGGCCTTTTTTGCATCTTTTTTGCGCTAAATGATCTCAAAAAATTCGTTGCTCAGTCTGTCACGGATGTGGTGCTTCAGGGGATGACACTTTTGAGCGCGTCATTCGTAGTGCCTACAGGCGGCAGATACCAGTATTGGTTTGCGCTTCTACAAAATTGGGTCGCGGAAAAAGTATGAGTCTCACAAGGCCTTGGCTGACCGGCCCCGGTCCCTGTCCGCCCGTCTACCACTAACGCACTCAAAAAGAAGTACAATTCTGCCTCCAGGTTCTTCAAAAGAGTTATCGCTGGTCCAAAGTCGGAGCACATTGGGAGAATTGGCGAGAAACTAGTTAGCCTTCCTTCGAGAACTCGTGCGTTCTTATCCCTCGGCAAGCCTGCCGAAGGGAATTTCTGTAAGCCATCATTACCATCTTTGCGACAGAAGGATGACTTGGCCACGCCGCAAATGAGATAGCCGATCTTTTGGGACCTCTTTTTACGTCCAACTTAACTCTCGATACGGGGCGATTATACCGCCGACCATCCCGCACTCCATGCAGGATGTGCTGTTTGCACAGAGCTTGGTGCGCAAAGCACTCTTGCCCTGGATGTCTACAAATCGAGTGGGCCTGATGGAATCCCACAAATCTGAAATTTTATATTTATTTATCTGTTTCTTTTATTACTTTTTAAACGTCTACAAAATAACTTTTCCAGATTTCATGTGGGCAAATTTAGAAATATTACTATCCGTATAAATTTCTCTAAGCAATAACAATCTGGGAAATAATTTAGGCGTTCTTGAGTCATAGTGTACCCTAAATTAATTTTTTATACGTTTCAATGTTGAAAATGAATGTTCACCTCTGCAGTTATTGATCGTGAGATAATAAATGCGCTAAGCAGTTTTTAAACTAGGAAAGCATGATTCTAATGAATTATCCATTAGAAATTTATTTTGCATTTCTGAAAATTCAATGTTTGTGGCCATTTATACATCATTCGCCCACATAATTCGCTGACTATGTTGTATTCCAAACCATTTGTATAAGCACCGACCATAATTGGAGTTTCTTTCAAAATCTCTTCGGCTGTAATATATTTAAATGATAATGCAGTTCAAAGATTTCTTCATTTGTATGCCTGTTGGTCATTGAGTTCGCGAAGCACCCATTTGTCAAGCATTTTTACCTTGCCAATTTGACGCTAATGTTGGTCACATTGTTTTGATGCTAACGTCGAAAGCCTTGTTGAAATGTTTCAAAAACACCAGGTAGATTTTGGGATGCTTTTACGCGTTTATCTAAAGCAGATAGCAAGTTATCAATAATGACAACAAACACTTCAATTTCAAACGGTTTATCAGGTGTTTCAGTTTCAACAAATCCGTCAATTGAACTAAAACCGCTAAAATAGTGGTACTTTGTCTTTCGCTTGCGTCGTCTTGAAATTTGTTGCTGATATTTATGACAGCCTGTCAGATCTCTGAAAATGTTTGTTGCATTGTTTGGACATATCTATATATACACCATGTATGTGTGCATGTGTGTGCGTGCGTGCGTGTGTGTGTGTGTGCGTGTGTGTGTGTGTGGGCGTGCGTGCGTGCGCGCGAGCGTGTGTGTGAGCGTGCGTGTGTGTGTGCGTGCGTGCGTGCGTGTGTGCGTGTGCGTGGTGTGTGCGTGTGTGTGTGTGTGTGTGTGTGTGTGTGTGTGTGTGTGTGTGTGAAATTGTTAGTGAAGTTGTTTAATGTTTTAATTTTTATGTGAGAGGGTCGTAGTGACATACGATTGTTTTTGTGTACACAGATTTTCCCCCGCAAAAAAGAAAGACAGTTCTGTATTAGAAAAAACGCTATGACTACTCCCATCCGGTCCGCCGGTGCTCGGCATTGCTCTTTCGTTTTCATATAAATGGTGCAGTTCAGTATATCTATGGTTCAGTATGTGTCTATCCTAATTTGTAAAGAGCAAGTACAATAATGTAACCTCAATGCAATGAGAACATTTTAATGAACTGTATATTCTTAATGTATACTACAGTCTCTTTACTTGTCAGATGATAGGTAGATTACAGGCAAATCTATTTTTAAATGTATGAGATTCCTAATGATAAGCATTTTCATTTTGCATATTATTATTTATCCTGTACAATTGAGAAAAAAGATAATGTTAAAATATGACTGATGATAGTGTACTTTGTTAACTGTAAGTAAAATACTATAAGTCATCTCTTGTAGACATTACGGGCATCTTCCTCAGTAGAAAGGCAAACACAACTAGACATCTCGTATATTTGATGTTACTTCTCATAGCCTGGTAAAATGCATGTAACCTGTAAGTTATACCACCATCTATCGTAGGCCTTAAGATCATCTAGGCATATCCAATTTCGAACCTTTTAATGGTTATATAATATATAATATTCTTCTCGCTTAAAATAGCTTGAAGTCTGAAGGAAGTTTTGGACGGTTTTATCTCTGGTAAAATACACTATGTTTACACTGCGAGTTTTTTTATAGAATAAGGGTAACAAACGAGTACACAGTCCACCTGAAGGTAAGTGGATGCTGTGGCTCTTAAACATCTACATTTATCTTCGATTAAGAATCAAAATGCAGATAAGTTGTCACACATGAAGACTAAGATGGAATGCCTCATTTCCAGTAAAAAATGGTCTCCGGATCTCTACACTCACCATACGAAACACAGCAGCATTAAGCTACTATTTTACGCTGGTATTCCGTAAGAGCGTGGTCCTTTCCCGGTTGACCCGACTCATTCGTGCTACAATAATATAGCCGCAGCGTTGCTCTGTCACGTATATATCGAAGTATTTCCCTATGTCACCTCCTACAGCACCCTCGGGATGAGATCATAGCCCTTCCTGTAGATTACTCCCTTGAGGGTGATGTTTAACACTTGTCACGCTTGGCAAGCAAGTTGGCAATGGCAGTTTTTAACTATTTCGAGTTATTACAAGTTGCTGCCATTCTTGTTACAGTTTCTGTCTGTCAACTCTTACGACACTCGAGGGGCGATATGGGGTAGTTGATTCTGTTACGCCGCCACTATACGGTTACAAGAGATAACATAGAATAACGAATTCTATTATGCGACCAACCACAAGAATTTTCATTTTTCCTGTTCATCTTGGATGCACATACATTTATTTGTATTCATTAAATACATACCAGTAACTCCAAGCGACCATAGGAGATCAGCTTTTAAAACTGATGTTATCTGCCTTGGTACTGTACGCAAGAGTTTCCTGGATGTGTATCCTCCGTTCTATGGAGATAAAAATTTCTTATTAATTAATTTTGTATAATTTCGTGTTTTGAGCAATAAAAAAATATATCAAATGGTATAACCTCGCGAGGTGTCCTGAAAGAGTGTAATGCACGCGCGCGGTGGTTTCGCCATCCTGTGTACAAGCAACCATTAGGGTCGCAATTATCCTGTCAAACAAATACATTTTTCATAGCATCAACAAATCCGATGACAATAACTAAAACTAATTTATTGATCATTAAAATATACAATTATTATTACCAAAATAAAAGAAAAACTAAAACTAAAAACTTTAATTATCATACCAAGAGTGATAAAATATTTGATCAATTCTATCGATACTTCTCGATTACTAAAATTTTCTACATGATGTAGTATTATCTAAAGTTAAAAGAAATCAAAATTAAAACAAAATATTAATTTCAGTATTATTTACAAAGCAAGTTTCTCCTAATATAACTTTGCTCTGACAATTGGGTTTGTCTTTTGTTCTAGGTAATTGAATCATTACAATTGTGAAATGATTTAAAAAAATTATCACAACCTTTTGTATAGTCTGTTCGCTATATCTTATAGTGTTTGTACACCTAAAGGTTCAATTATTATTTTGCTTTTATTTTACTATTTTTTATGTGTTTGTTAATGTGTGAATGTTTGTCTATTTTAAGAACAAAACAGAATTTTATTTTATTCTTATGGTTATAGTAGTAAAATACGAATATAAATAATAAACACAAGTATACAAATAATAGCAAAGAAACTTTCATATGGTGCTTAGTTTTAAAATTGCAAATTCTCCTACTGATGCACGCGGCGAACTCTGACGTCACAGCGCGGCGGCACATTAAGTAGTAATTTTTATAATGATCATCTACCCAATCAAGAGGGTGCATCAGTTGCAAGTGAGGTTGACATGACTGTGTTTAATAAGAACATATTATAAATTTTGACAGGTGATCAATAGCATTGCTTTGCTAATTTTCTTTTTTAAACCTCCTTTACCTTACTATGGTTATGAATAAATGTCATTTGTTCTTTTATTCGAAAGATAATTTTTATAATCGCAGCTGATCTTCCTATTTCGTCATAGGTGGTATACTTTATTTTATTGCTAAAATCTAAAAATCTGTTAAAAGTAAAGATGTTGTAAAGCTAGTCACAACCAATTTATTATGATAGGATGTAAATCTTTAACAAACCTACCCATCTGTCTTTTACTTTGTCTATCAATGAACACAATCTTTAGAATTGCTAAAGAATACCGAAACAGTCTTTCTGCCGTACTACTCTATAAAATCTGTATAGGTCATAACTCAGCCGCTATTGAGAACATGAATTATTTGTGTCCTTAGATATACAACATATTAATAATTTGACTACAGTACCATTTATCGGAATCCTAGCATAATTATGAACTACTGTATCGACAAAAAAATTTATGCAAATATGACCTCAACTGGTCAAACCGATCAGAAGTTCTATCACTAATAGACACACTGACTATAATATTTATAAAATGTTTACCTCATGCACATATTTAATGGTGCGCTGAACTATTCGTTGAGCAGTGACTCGGCGAACAGCTGGATGATCACGCAATGCATCAAGTGCTGAACGCCCAGCATCACCCAACACAATAACATCAAAGTCACTAGGATAATCTTTTGCTGGGTTGTCTCGCTGTACTAAAGTCCAATTTGATACCTACACATGGGTGAAAATGAAGTATTCCATATATAGTTATACAATATGAAACAAAGACAGGACAACAGGACACATCCCAATCAGTAAGGTCACTTTTAGGTATTGCGATATGATTTTGTAAATGTTTATGTAATCTTTTTTGGAGAATAAACAAAAAGAAATTATATAAATAAATATATTAAATAAAATAAATTTAAATATAATCTGGCACATGCAGTCATTAAGTAACAATACATTCAAAAATACTGACAACAAAGTTATTGTCTGATTTTAAAATTTTCCTACATTTTCAGCAAATTGTATTAAAAAAGATTTTATTAAATACAACAATAAATTTTTCATAATCATTAATAATACCTATGAAACTCTTTTAGGTAAAGCTACCACTGCAGATTGATGTGTGATTGATCATAAGAGATATACTTAATACATACATGTATGTTGTTGAAACATTTTTAAAAATATAGAAAATTATATGGTAAGTTTTATCAATTAACACTAAGCTTGTAATTACATCTGTAATTTCAAAGGATATTTTAGTGTCAGACAATGAGCTAGATCTATAACTAATTATTACATCATGTATGTTGTACTCTTTATACTGACAGCAAAACATATAACATTAGTCAAGACATTATGTACTTATTATTGTCCATACATCCGACAAGAATGTGAGTGTTTTCAAGGCTAGAGTAAATAGGTCTTTGTAAAGTTATAAGTCAGTTATTTATGCCCTCTCCAAATACATCCCTACTTACCGTCAGGTGGGATAGTTATCAAGCAATAACTTATAAAGGTAAAAAAAGTGTTTTACTATTGCATAATATACACTTTTGGATATATCCTACACAATGAAGAGTTTTCAAAAATATCTTGAAGACATCCGAGTCTAAAGAGACACACAGCAGTTACAATGAGAGACATGATTTATTTACCACCAACAATAAAATAATAATCAATTTATCTATCTGATCTACTTGGTCTGTGATGAAAAAAAATATCATGATGTATATCAGAGATATTAAAAAACGCTGCGTGTCAGAGATATTAAAAATCTGAGTAAACATCAAACCATATTTTTATTTATATATTACTTAATTTATATCTTTATATTAAAGCCAAATTTACATTACGAAACTAGTGTTATGCATATTGAAATGAGTTTCAAGAAAATAGTTGCAGCACATGTGAAACTACTTTCACAAAAAATAATAGTGTTGTGAAATCATTTTCATTTCATTCATCAATTTTGCTTACAACTTCTTTCACAGTGTCCATTTCCATGGTTTCCATAATTACTTTGTAGGCTGCCTCTCTAGCATCTCTATTTTCATATAGAGGGTGTTTTGGATCCCAAAGACACTCGTTACGCTGGTATTTGTTAATGAATTTTATATTTTTATCGACTGACCAACGTTGGTTTGCCATTTTGGCACGATTTAGCTGCAAGATGCACTCAAACACACGTCTGCACTGTGCAGATGCTTTCGCGACACTAGTTTCGTGTCACGTTTTCATCGTGAAAGTAGTTGCGTGACATTAGTTTTACAAAAAATATGCGCATGGCACAAAATTAATCCAGTCTCATGAAACTGATGCATGCATTATGAAACTGTAAATTTACATGTAAAATTGTTGATGAAATTAATGTCATAAAACTAATTTCGAGCAACTAGTTTCGTAATGTAAATATGGCTTAATAGTAAAAGTGACATAGTTAAGTAAAATAGGAGTCTAACAAATTACAAGAAAAATTCTGGTAACTGCATATTTAAAATACATAATTATGTGCATAGCATGCAAATATAACAGCAAAGCTTAACAAGAATTCGCAATGCACATTAAATATATTTATGTATTGCATTTATTAGAAATTATATACTGAAGATAAGCTATGCCTATAAAATTGAGAAGAATTAAACAGAAAATACAAGCCTCTTATCATTTTACAGTTAGTAGACATGTGTGACAACTGTTCAGATTGTCACAGACAGAACACATACCCAAAATGAACTATTTTATTTTGGGTATGAAGCGTGGAAATTCAAGTAATATTAATTGCATCAACTTTAAGTTATGAAATTAAAACTGGCGGCACATAGACTACTAAATATAAAATGCTATTGTCCATTAACTGATTTCACAAGCAGCTCAAAAAAATTATCATACCCCAGCATTGCTTAACGCAGCAGCCACATAGTTCTCTCTGGTAGTTCTTGGAAAGTATCCTTTGAAAGTAATAATATGTTCACTTCCTACTATATCCGTACTAAATTCGTATTCAACCTGAGCTGATTTTGTTGCATTGCACAACTCATAAGTGCCGGTTTCTTCAACAGCAAATATAGATACCCAAAGGCCTACTAAAAACACCACCAGTAAATGGGTCATACCCATTTTTAACTATAATTGACTTCCAATTACACCATTTCTATTAGAACTACTTTGAACTGCTTCTCTAAATTTGATATTAAATTTTCAACAATAGTTCGGTTCTCCATTACATTTTTAAGATTTATGTTCGAATGTATTTATCAATGAATATTTAAGTAAATACGTATTACTTCATATTTGTTTGTGCTACGCTGTGCATTTTTAAATACTTTTATTGTTTATAACAATAAATAATATTTACATCGTGGTGTACACCCCCAAAAAATATTACACTTTTTTAATAAACTGGCTTTACGGCTCTGGGTTCTAGCCCTTCTGAACCTATCATTTCTTTCGGAATCTTCATTTTATACAAGGTGTAAGAGTAAACACCGTTGTCACTAAAACCATAGCTTGGCTTTAATATAAAATTTTTATATGAATTTTTAAAAAAAACGCTATTTTCTTTCATAAAATTTAAACAGTTTCTGTCCGACACCGTCCGTAAATTCATGGATACCCTATGCGCCCGACTGACGTAATCACTGTAAAGATCACCGCCCGCGCTAGCTACCTACACAACATTCCAATAAAAACACAATAGGTACACATAACCTGTGATGTAACTTTTCCTTCATACTTTCATCCGTCATGCGTCACAATGCGAAGTTTTTGGGAGATATTGACGACAGCTCAGCTTAACATACAGTTTTTTTTGTATTTTGTCAAAAATTGACGAAGTTATGACCAAATTACTAGCGAAGTTCATTTACTGCCCGGCGCGGTAGCTGTAACGTCACTGTGATCGTCGCCGCAGGTTAGCCGTTGGCAGCGACAAGCCGCGCAGTGTTTTGTTTGGTTAATTGTTACTTTGAAACAAATAAAGTGTCCGTTTTGTGTCTAATTCACCTTTTTAACTATGTATAAATATTGTATAGTACCTCAATGTACGAACACTTTTATTAAAACGCCAGAAAAACTATTTTAACGTGCCGAAAGACATAAAACTTAGTAAAAAATGGTATTCCGTTGCGTTCTTCCCACTCCTTGCCGATAACATTTAGGAAGCGCTATTCTAAAGCGATTTCAATAATCGATTGTTTCGAAATTCAAATCGAGAAACCTAGCAACGCTTCGCACCAAGCGGCTACATGGTCTCAATATAAAAGCGGCAATACCATTAAGTACTTGATTTAAATTACACCTGACGATTTGATAAACTTTATCTCTGAGGGATATGGTGGGAGGATCGCACACTCAACAATATTTGAAAACAGCGGATTTCTTGAAAAATTGGTACAAGGAAATATTGTGTTAGCTGACAGGGGTTTCAAAAATATTTCCCATTTACTGTAACAACGTGGTTGTACACTCCTGAGGCCGCCTAGTATGAGTTCCAACTCAAAAAACCTACAGCAGAGGAAGTCTTGCAAACAGAGAGAATCCCTGCTATAAGAATTCACGTTAAGAGAAGCATAGGGAAGTTGAGATACTTTAAAATGATCTGACCTCACGCATGTGTCGATATTCAATATATAATTTTTTTGGATAATACTGTGGTTTAGTTAATTTACAGAATTGTCTATTTAGTAATAAGTGTAAAAATAAGAATGCTTTAGTTCCTTTTGTAGTTTTATTTCAAAAGCACAAGTCGTATTATTAATTTTAAGTCTTAACCAGTTTTGGAAACACTGATGTTTTCCAAAAATGCGTGGAATTTTCTAAAAGATCAGTACAACAGTTTTCATCATTTTCTTCTTATAATATTTCTATTTTTTATTGCTTTCAAAATTTTCATTAGCTTCAAAAACAATCCCTTGAATTTATTTCAAAAAACATTTCAAGCTGAATTTGAGCTTTAGATTTGCTGCCGAGAACATTATTCTATGAAAAACTTTCCTTTCCTTTCTTTGTAGAGGGACATTTTGTTTCTAGTGAATACGTAGGTATTCACTTGTCAAACCTTTTGGAGAAGCACCTAAATGAGGCCAATCGGGTTTTAAAAAGAAAACACCGTTTTCGATAACTATTTTAATTATATTGGCCACTTCTGCTCTCACATCAGATTTCAATTGTGTGCCTCTTTTCAGACAGAGTCTTTGGTATAGAGGTATCAAATATTGGTTCAATGAAAGCACCATCAGGAGTCTTGCAATGTGCAGCTTCGTAAATTTTAGATGCGGTTATTCAACAATACCTTAACTCTTGCCATAAAGGTGAAGCTCGACAAAATGTTCCTTTGTGACAATAAAATTATATGCACTATTTATGTTATTGCCTTTCTTTGTGTATTGATGAACGAGATTATGCAAAGACTATTATTTAAACTCATTTTTGTAACGTATACTGATAACTGATTTTTAATATGCAACATTTTCCTTTAGGCTTTGCACCACTGCTGGGAAAAACTGGTCTCCATTGGTGTTATCAGCGTTTTTTTCTTCAGTAGTAACTGAGCTGGGACCCATATCGTTAGTACCTATAGTAACCAGCTTTGGTTTGGTCTAGTAACTTTTTTTTCAGTGGGAGATGGCTGCTCACTGCGTCTATGGAGCCATATCAAAAATGCTACGCCATATTTGCAGCCTCCCTTTTGAGCAGCACAGTCATGACAGTCCACGTTCAAAACCGTAGTTCGATGCCGCGATCCCGATACGCTCAATGACGCTATAAATTTTGCTGTGTCTGAAGAAAAAATATTCCAGGTGACTCGACGCCATCTTAGTCAAACAAATACCCAGGATTCAAACCAAAGACGCTTTACTAGTCGTAATTTTCAACAAAACCAAACAACTACGCGAGAGAGGCCTTTTAATAATTAGAATGGGTCTTCCTCTATGTTCAGAACTGATTATCCAGTGTGCCGATATTGTAAAATACCCGGTCATACATTAGAAACATGCCGCAAACGCGAGGCTAATAATCAACGACGATTTGGTAACGCTCAGAACAGTTATAGTAATAATAATGTTAATCGCAATAACTACAATAATAATGGTCCACCGCCTCACACTTTCCCAAATCGTAATCAGCATATCAATGCTGCTATTGCAGACGATCAAAATGTCGATAACACCAACCATCATTTAAACGCCGAGGATTTCCCGTCCAGTATCGCACGGGAAGACTAAATAGCAAAGCCGATACTCACCCCATTACCAATCATAACATAGCATTTCACTCATTCTCTATTCCTATTCCAACTCAATCTAACCGACAGGGTATCCAGCCCCAAACCGACAGATTGAAAGTTAATAATGCTACTTCAATTAACAAACAGCCTATCAACGGCGTGTTTCGTCACGGAGGAGTGTTTCGTCTCCTGCATCTGAAAAGAAAGAAAACAATATTAAAATATATAACATTTCTACAAATCCATCAAAAAAATACTTACCTTTTATAAAAGTTCAAACTTCTGTCTCGTCGAAGTCTTTGCTCGTCGATACCGGCGCAGCTATCAATATTATTAAAGATTCTGCTGTGGAAAAGATGCCTGAAATAAACAATAATACTATAGAAATTATGGGTATAGGAAATGACTCTGTCACATCCCAATTAAATTTTGTTCCTACCAACATAACTTCTACGTAATCATTAGTATCGACTCCCTTCAGAATCAGAATCATTGGTAGCGACTCCCTATCAAATTAAATTGCAAAATTAATTATGACAACAACACCTTAAAAGTAAATAAAGATGAAATAGAGCTTTGTTTCACTAAGCCAGTCTATACTATTGCACCTCGATGTGAAACTATCATAGAGTGTTCTGTAAGAAATCCGGACATTAAAGAAGGACTTGTTCTCGATCAGAACCCCGTAGACTCGCTCCTAATAGCTAACTGCATCGTAAAAGTGAAATCAAATTCAAGAATTAATATTTCCGTTGTAAATACTTCTGAAAGCGAATTAATCGTCGATTCCGATCTAAAACTAACGCTACAACCTTTGCAAAATAAATATAATTATCAAATCTTTTATACTTCTTCAGACGGATCTAGAAATAACGCCCTTACTCGCACCGATCAAACTCTAAATCTCTTAAGATTTTTAGACCTTTGCTGTACTTACTCCGATATTTTTCATTTGCCTGGCGACAAATTAACTGACACAAACGTTTTACAACACGAAATCCCTACTTCATCTTCTGTACCAATTAACACTAAGTCTTACCGCTTCCCTGACATTCATAAGCCAAAAGTAGAATGCCAAATAAATAAAATGCTTGACGACGGCATCATCAAACCTTCGACATCACCTTGGTCATCACCTATTTGGATAGCCCCAAAGAAGATCGATGCGTCCGGGCAACGTAAGTGGCGCGTAGTCATAGATTACCGTCGCCTGAACGACATCACTATAGGAGATTCCTATCCGATACCCAACATAACAGAAATTCTTGATCAGTTAGGGAAATGCAAATACTTTAGCACTTTAGATCTTGCCTCCGGGTTCCACCAGATAAGAATGTCCGAAAAGGACGCTCCTAAAACTGCCTTCTCCGTTCCGCAAGGACATTTTGAGTTTACAAGGATGCCTTTTGGGCTAAAAAACGCTCCTTCAACATTCCAGAGGTTGATGAACACTGCCCTATCTGGCTTACAAGGACTCCAGTGCTTCGTCTATCTAGATGATATCGTTATTTACTCATATGATCTTCAAACACACTTAAATAATCTTTCTAAGATCTTCGACAGACTCCGACACTTCAATCTTAAGCTCCAGCCAGATAAGTGTGAATTTCTCCGAAAGGAAGTATCATACCTTGGTCATAGTTCGTGCGCGCTGCGTCTCGAGACGGTCGTGTCATATGTGATTGCAGTGAAACCGTTACGGCGGCGGCGTTACAAGTTTCGAAAATGACGTTAAAATGTAATAGTTGTAATATAGTTATTAGCGAGTTATTAGCATACGTGCAAAACAAGCTGTCTGTAGCAGATGAGGACAGCATTGTTAAAATATGTGCTTCTACGTTCTCATCGGAACAAATTGAGGATGCAAAAAACTTGCTCGTGAATT